ATGGGGGCCCTTCGTAGTTATTATAATAACTGGCGTGAAAGATCTCGGTCACTCTCTTGAATGAGTGACAAGGAGTGACCAGGGCCCCGAACTGGTCCAAGGTCCTGAGTTTGGAGAAGGCGCTAGGTTGTCCTACACTACAGACCAAAGGACCAGTGCTGCTAGGGCAGCTTAGGTTGCCCAGGTACCAGGTGGGTCCCAGACAACAGGTGGACCCTAGGTGACAGGTGGACCCCAGGTGACCGGTGGACCCTGGTGACCGGTGGACCCCAGGCAACAGGTGGACTCCAGAGCAACAGGTGGACCCCAGGCGACAGGTGGACCCCAGGCGACAGGTGGACCCCAGACAAGAGGTGGACCCCAGGTGACCGGTGAACCCCATGTGACTGATGACCCCAGGTGACAGGTGGACCCCAGGGTATAGAAGGTACAAGCCTTCCTTAAAGTGAAGAGACGGTACAAGTCCCATGTCCTAAAAAAGTCAGTTGTTCGTCCACAAGTTGACACGTAGTACCAACTAGAGCGAAGGGTAAGGATTAGGCAAGAAAAGCATACAGAGAACAAGATAAATAAACACACTCGAATTTGCATTACACGTGGCAGCTCTAAGCGCCCCTTTCCAAGCTCTTCTCCGTCACCTCACCTCTTCCGGGCGGGATACCCTTTGGCCCCCCGACGTCCAGCAGGTGTTAGACGGCTCAATCTACGCAAGTTGAACCTCAGGATAGTTGGCCTGAGGTGTCAAGTAAGTGTCAAGACTCTACGACCCGCTACAGGAAGCGGTTTCCCTACGGGGAAGAACACAAAGGGGTCCAAGGACCAAGAACAGTCAGACACCAAAGGGGTACATAGTACCAGGTGCATCGCTCTTGACTCAGTCGGTTGAGCCCAAGAAACCCGGTCCCAAGTGAAGTATATCCACTCGGGGGCCACCAAGTCCAAGTCTTATACAAAGACGAAGTCTTTAAGTCTTCTGCGTCAACCGAGGAGCAAGACCAGCCAAGCCGACGGGTACACAAGGTGAGACCCAAGGTTAACACGACACGGTATCGAGGTACCCCCTCCGTAATTCGGCAGTCCGGCGCCGTGTGTGTTTGTGTATCTCCTACGTTGTTTGAGAATCCACTCCACCACACTTTGCTCCCGGACCCTGAGGTGAGGGACACCGCTTCCGATAGCGGGTCTTGGGGGGGTTGCTACACGAACGAGCTCACAGGCCAAATATATCCTGGAGCTCTATTCGCACTTGAACTTTGCTACACAACTGTCTTCGACGGGGGGGCATTATATATATCTTCCCGTAACAGTGAGTAGCTTAGAGCAAGTTCTTTAGGACGACGAAGTCGTGCCACGTGGGGTTCAGCTCGCACTGTGTCTGACCACACGCCTGTCTTTAACGGGGGGAGGAAAAAGTTCAAATATATTCCTTCCTCGGAACAGGCGTGTGGCCAGACTAGATTTTTTATACAGAGCGACGAAGACTTGCCAAGTAGATCGCAAATTGAGTAGTATTTAATATAGTACTATCCTTTTAACTCCTTTACTCTATCCTTGCCTGAAGCTCTGATTCCTTGCGTCGACTAGTCTGACCCTTGTGTTAACTGGTCCGGAGTGGCTGAACGACGAGGGGCCGAGGTCGACCAATGAGGGACACAGATCGATCAATGAGAGACAGGGTCGACCGACGAGGGACCGGGCCTTTTAAAGGGGACCATGGTCGACTCCCTTCGGTCCCAGTTAAACGGTGCCCTGGTAATGACCTCTTCTTTGTTTGTCTTTCACATTCTCAGCCAACGGTCGCTTCACTCCGAGGTTCCCTTTATCTCCGGTCCCTTCTCTCTGGTGCGTGGTCCTTTCTCCCTAGTCCACGGCCCCTTGTCCCTTCAATACAACTGGCCCCTGGCCTCTTCACAATTTAGGAAGGCACTTCATCACAGCCGCCCCTTGCACTTGTTCAGCCGTACAGCGGCTTGAGCACGCGCATTTACTCCCTCGTCAATCACGTTAGTCTTTCTGCTTGCTCTTTGTTAGGTAATCCGTGGCCAATTTTGGCTCGCTCCAAATGTGGTTTTAATATTCAATACATTGAGCTGCATTCTTGTGTGACCAAGGTCTACCGAAGAGGGACCAGGTCGACCAACGAGGGACCCATGTCTACCGATGAAAGACCCAAGTCTACCGACGAAGGACAATGGCCAACCATCCAAGGAGCTTTCTATTGGCTGAAAATTCAACCTATCAGAAACCTGGATTTTCATTGGGTGTCCAAGCGTCAGCTCGCTGTTCCTGCTTCGCGCCCCTCGCTCGGGACTAAAGTAGCGCCGCCCCTCGGTCCCTTGGGCATCCTAGTGACTGATCCAGTAGAAGAAGATCCTGGTGATAAATGACCTGCTGTAATCTGGTCGCTTGACGGCAGGTGTTGCGGTGGACCTTGCTTCGCCCATATATGTCCGGTGTCCCCACACATTTGGGGGTGGACCGCGATGTTTTGGAGCGACATCTGGCTTTCCATGGAAGGTGTTTGCATGTGATACATCGAAGGCAAGTTCCCCTATGATGGAGTGGTACCGACTAAGATCGTAAGACGCTTGTGCATTTTTCTGCGTCGTTGTGATTCTGTCGAACCCCAGGAAAAGCAGGTCGTCCGGGTCGTACCGTCGGTGACCATGTTCGCTTCGTGAAGAAGGGTAGCCAGCGCAGTGATCGCGTCCGTGAAGGTTTGCAGCCGTGTTAGGGTCGACACCGGCCCAGTAAGTTGACCCACCTGCCGGATCTCCAGGGTCTTCGCGACGGGGTCGCTCTCTAGGAACGCGTTCAGCTTGCGTTGGTGATAGACCTTCGTGACGTCAAGGTCCGACCATGATTCCAGTCCTGACTTCTCAGGACCTATCGACTTGGTGTTTCCGGGCGCCTTCATCCGGAACTTTCGTCGGCTTAGACTGCGCGATCTTGTTTTGTTGTTTTTTCGGGGACCTTAGCCTCTCGGTTTTCACCGTCGGCTGATGGTCCTCTGGATCATGACCCAAGGTGTCCTCTACGAGGACATAGGGAGGGTATTTAGGTTTCTCTTCAATAAATTCAACCTCGACCATGTTGACCGGGCTCCTCTTAAGGTCTGGTCGGTCCTTCGATCCTTTGTTCGTTTCTTCTTGAGTCACTGGCGATCGGTCTTTCAGTGACTCTTCGGTCTTGTGCTCCTTCTTGACATGAACATCTTTATCGTCTTGGGACTCGCGGTGAAATCCCGCGTCTTCCGAAGATCCGGGCACGCGCACCATTGTGGTGGATTGGGTTCTCAAAATTGTATGATGAGACCCCAAACCACTCACTGTGCCGGACTGCCGACTGTCGGAGGGGGTACCCCGATGCCGCGTATGGACCTTCTCTCACCTTGTGTACCCGTCGGCTGGCGGGTTGCACTCTTCGGAGGACTTGGTGACGATGTAGATGTCTACCTTCAGGGAGGTAGACCTGGGGGGCCTCGAGTGGATATGCTTCACTCGGTTGGCCGGTAAGTGGCCACTCGATCGACCTTGTCGAGAGTGGACTTAGAGCCAAGTTCTTCAGGGGCGCTTGTCGTCCCTGGCCTTTTCCTTCTTGTTTCAGGAGTATCAACCACCTGACCTTAACTTTGCTCCCGGACCGTGAGGTAAGGGAGGCCGCTTCTGTCCCTTCCATAACGGTTGGATCCCTGTCCCATAACGGCGAAATTCTTTTCTCATAACGGTTAATTCCATTTCTCATAACGACAAGATTCCTGTTCCTCATTGAGTCACTTTCTAAAATAATTTATTGGGTGTGGTGAAGTCGATCGCAATTCATGAACGATCAAATGGAAAAGTATTGTTGATCCAATATCGTTTATTTGCTTGTTCAATAAAATATGATGAAGTGCCTTCCTAAATTGTGAAGAGGCCAGGGGCCAGTTGGATTGAAGGGACAAGGGGCCGTGGACTAGGGAGAAAGGACCACGCACCAGAGAGAAGGGACCGGAGATAAAGGGAACCTCGGAGTGAAGCGACCGTTGGCTGAGAATGTGAAAGACAAACAAAGAAGAGATCATTACCAGGGCACCGTTTAACTAGGACCGAAGGGAGTCGACCATGGTCCCCTTTAAATGGCCCGGTCCCTCACTGGTGGATCCGGTCCCTCATTGGTAGACCTCGGCCTCTCGTCGGTAAACCCGGTCCCTCATCGGTAGACCTGGGTCCCTCGTCGGTAGACCCAGTCCCTCATTGGTCGACCCGGTCCCTCATCGGTAGACCTGGGTCCCTCGTCGGTAGACCCAGTCCCTCATTGGTCGACCCGGTCCCTCATTGGTCGACCTGGGTCCCTCATTGGTCGACCTCGGCCCCTCGGGGTTCAGCCACTCCTGACTAGTTAACACAAGGGTCAGACTAGTCGACGCAAGGAATCAGAGCTTCAGGCAAGGATATAGTAAAGGAGTTAAAAGGATAGGACTATATTAAATACTACTCAATTTGCGATCTACGTGGCACGACTCCGTCACCCAAGAAGAACTTGTTCTAAGTTACTCACTGTTCCGGGAAGGGATATATTTTGGCCTCCCGTCGAAGACAGTTGTGTAGCGAAGTTCAAGTGCGAATAGAGCTCCAGGATATATTTGGCCTGTGAGCTCGTTCGAGTAGCAACACCTCCCAAGACCTAATCGTTGGCGAGAAAAGTCCCGATAACTCGGCTCCGGATTTATTGAGCAAATAATTAAATGGCTTAGCCAAAATTCTTTAATCGACTTTACCACACATATCTTAGTTCTAACATTGTAAACCTTGGCTTCGCCGCAGCCAAAAACAATAAAAAAACTAGCTCTCGTTTTAGAGTGTAGGAGTCAAAAATCGATTAGAATATATGATAATTTATTGTGTGCACTACATCGTACGCAACCTTCACGTTTGCGCAACGAATATGTCGTATGAATGTGACTACAACTGCGTTGTGTCCAATGTGTGGCATTCACGCTCTCTGGTAGGACAAGAGCAATGGTACACTACCGTAGTACGCGAGGCGGCGTCCGTGGTCTCAGTTTTGAACAAGCGGTGCTCACAGGTCTGGCGTCCGATCGTGGTCTTCTTGTTCCTGAAGCCAATGAGTTTCCGACGTTGCCCACCGGCGCGTTGGACAAGTGGGCGTCGTTGTCTTACCAGGAGTTGGCCGTGGAGGTCATCGGTCTTTTCATCGACGAGAGCGAGATCTCGCGCGACGAATTGCGATCACTCGTAGACAAGAGCTACAATTTGACCACGTTCCGGGCTAAAGAGGTGGCACCCGTTGTCAAAGTCTCGGACCACATGCTGGTGCTCGAGCTTTTCCATGGCCCAACATTCGCCTTTAAGGACATTGCACTGCAGTTTCTGGGTAATCTCTTTGAGTTTTTTCTGCAGCGTAAGAATGCAGTGCTACCCGATGGTGCTCCACAGTACCAAATTACGGTCGTGGGTGCCACCTCCGGTGATACAGGCAGTTCAGCCATTTATGGTCTACGAGGCAAGAAGAACGTCGAAGTGTTCATTTTGTTTCCAGAGGGACGTGTAAGCGCGATCCAGCAACGCCAAATGACGACGGTACTGGATGAAAATATTCACAATGTGGCCGTCAAGGGCACGTTCGATGATTGTCAGGCTATTGTCAAGGATCTGTTTGCCAACGCCGAGTTCAAGGCCAAGTATCATCTCGGTGCAGTCAACTCCATTAACTTTGCTCGTATCTTGGCGCAGGTTGTCTATTACGTGTGGGCCTACTTTCGAGCTCGCGAGCAAGGTGTGTCCGGCGAGGTCGCCTTCTCCGTCCCTACGGGCAATTTCGGCGACATCCTCGCTGGCTTTTACGCCAAAAAGTTGGGTCTACCCATTGGAAAGCTGATCGTGGCCACGAATGAGAATGATATTCTGCATCGCTTCTTTTGCATGGGCAAGTACCACCGCCATGACATTAAACACACGATCACACCTTCCATGGACATTTGTGTATCTAGCAACTTTGAGCGCTACCTCTTTGCTTTGTCTGGCGAAAATCACGATATTTTGCGCGACTGGATGCAAGGCTTTGAACAAACTGGAGAGCTCACAATTTCGGGTGAGTTGCTCGCCAAGGCACAGGACGAGATGGCATCGTACGCGGTGCTCCAGGAGGAGGTGCGGTCCACCATTGCCCAGTACTCGAAGGTGCAGCACTACCTCTTTGACCCGCACAGTGCTATAGGTGCGGCTGCTGCCATGCGCTTTGGCATGGACGCGCTTGCCGATAAACCGGGGTTAGCTGTGGTCGTTGTTGGTACTGCTCACTACGGCAAGTTTCTGCCTGTTGTGTCCAAGGCGCTTGGTGTGACTGAGGCAGAGATCGAGCAGCATCCGATTTTGAAGGCATTGGAATCACTCTCCACTCGGCTCGCGACTGCCAATAACTCGAGTGCTACCGTGGCTGAGTACATCCGCAAGACCATCGGTAAGAAAAATCAGAAGGCTTGTGTTGAGGGCGGACAAATGTGGGCATCACTTTCGAAAGAGTCCACGCTGGTCTCTTTAGCGCTTGCCGCTGCGGCGGTTGCTGTCGCTATTTTTGTAACTCGACGCTCGAAGTAAGGAGCAAAGCGATGGTGGTGGCCTTGGTCGCCTTACTCCATCTCTATCATGCATGGTGGGAATTTACATTGAATAATACAAACGCCAAGACACTCATTCGTCTTTGAGCTTGTCATGCTATGCATTGTGGAGTAAAATGAAACATGGAGACGACCAAACTCATTCTTATTGACCAAGACGCCATACAACAGCTTTATAGAGTGTGAAAAATGCATGTCTGGGCCTGCTTCTATTTGCCCCTTTTTTCTTAACCTTCAACTCCACTCGAGTATTCGTTACGGTACTTGGTCCTGGGCCAGCACGCAGACTGTATTTGACTGCGCTGGTGTCGTAGAAAAGGTTGGGCTGGCCCGTAGCCTGATGACCACGAGGCAACCGTCAAATGACTACAATATAGTGCAGTTACTTGCACAGAGACCACATTGTGGTGTCTGATTCTGTGCGAGATACGCCTTTTGATGCTGTCTTTGAAGGCTCTCGCGTGTGACGGTGACAACACTGGAGGATCCGCTCTTCGACCCAGTATATGGTGATCGAAAGCTCTGCTGAGAGGGCTTTGCCGGTTCTTTTGGAGCAAATGAGATCCGTTCCTTGGTATATTGATTCTCGTACGAGTATTCACCTGGCCTCGTTCTTGATAAAACACGCCGCCATCCTGGGGGCAATCGTGCAATTTTCTTCGGCTCAGTCGGCGACAATAAACGTCCCACAGGCACAATCATCTTCTTGAAAGCGTCAACAACGTTCGTCGAATCCAAAGCCGACGTCTCGAGGAACTCCATTGAATGTGTCGCTGCAAATCTCGCCGCTTCAAGTGTCGACACTTCTCTACTCTCAGGCAAGTGAGCGAGGTCACATTTGTTCCCCACAAGGATTAATACCAAACTCTCATGGGAGTGTTCGTGTACCTGCGCTAACCACCCTGTAACGTGCTCGAACGAGCTGCGGTTCGTGATGTCGTACACGATCATGGCCCCCACTGCGTTGCGGTAATAGGCGGCCGTCAGTGATTGAAACCGCTCCTGTCCTGCAGTGTCCCAGATCTGCGCCTTAAGTCGTCGATCTCCGACTCGAATAGTCTTGGTCGCGAATTCAAATCCTACGGTTTGCACACTATGGGGCATGTATTTGTTCTTGGTAAAGCGCATGACGAGGTTTGACTTGCCCACGCCAGAGTCACCAATAAGCACCACTTTAAGAATAGACTCGGTCATGGGCGACAAATTCGGTGATGAACAACGTGGACTGCTAGAAAGTGATATGGATGACCCTGTAACTGAAGTCTTGGGGCCTGTAGCAGCGGGACTAGACGTACTCTCACGGTCGTCGCTGAATTGCGTCGAGCTAATTGAGCGTCGCATGTCGTGCTGTCGTGTTATCTGATGCTGCGCCACGTCTTTAGCCGAGATGTACTTGTGCAGCGGATTGCCAGACGTCATCTTGTTGTTTCTATTGCCAATAGCAGAAGATGAGGACAAAGACGACGCAGTAGTGGCCGTTGACGATGACGTAAGCTTGTGCTTGCTACCCGTAGTCATGGCAATGAGTAATACTGGGCACTGACACGGAGCGACCAAGATCGGGAATGTGGTGCACACAAACACTTGAAGCTCGTAGATTAAGGCGACGTCACGGCAGAGAGCGAGCGAGTGAGCGAGAGCTTGAAGCGAATTGTGCGTGAGAAGCTTTTGAGACCGATACGCAGTCAAAAAGTGAATAATATTCGAAAGGGCGGAACAAACGACTTATTATTATGTAGGCAGGAAATTGACGTATGTAAAGTTCGATTTTATATAATGAATTACATACATTATTACAAAATGATCGCACGGGAATGAATGTGGATACTCAAGTGGGTACCCCCGGGTTCTTCACAGTATGAAACTAACTACTAATGCATTGAGCAAGGGCTACATTGTATGGAAACGTTACCTTTGACGCTCCTGCCGTCATATATATCACGTTCTACAATTTACTTGGAAGGTGAACAGATACATGGGGTTGACAAACGTCCGTGAAGAGCAAGTCTCCCTATTGACTAGAAATTGGATCATGTGACGGTTTACATTGCGATAAATTGTGAAACAAAGTCCGCAGCGAGTTACCAGCCAGACACGAGGCAACATCACCAGCTAATGGTAATATCGTATCTGTCGACTCTTGATCGATTGCTCGTTGCACATAAGCATCCTTCACGTTTACTCAGCTACAGTAACTTCACCCAATGTGCGTATACCTGTTCCTCCTTTTCATATTGACCGACATATCCTCTCGACGACGACTTGTTCACCTCAACTTCCTTTTCTGTGGCATTCTGCACTTCCTTTTCAAGTTTGTAAGCCGAAACCTGAAGATCACTCTCTTTATCGGGCAGCAAGTCTGGGACCATACACGCTACAAACTGCGGTGCTTCGTTACTCTCTTCATCTTCCTCGATAGCCGCATACGTGTAAATTTCTGAAGGAATTGGAGTTGGCAGTTCGCTGATCTCCATCTTAAACACTCGACCGAGGAGGTGGATTCCTTGTACTTCATTTTGCGAGAGTAAGGTCACTGCCAACCCTTTCCCACCGAAGCGACCGGTTCTTCCAACACGGTGCAAATACGTTGCTGGATCCCGTGGTAGATCCAGGTTCACCTACAATGTCATGTTTCAAGGATCAGCAAATTACTTTCAAGACAGTAGACCATATTGATGTCGGAGCGTACCACGAAGTTAACTTTGTCGACATCAATACCTCGCGCAGTGAGATCGGTAGACACCAATACACGCGAGCGTGCCTCTCGAAATCCTTCCATTACTTCCATGCGCGTAGCTTGAGCTTGTGAGCCAGTGATGCATGCTGCAGGCCAACCCTGCCCAGAAAGGGCTGTGGCCAAGGCTTCCGCTCGAAATTTGTCGTTGCAGAATACCATGCATTGCACAAACACGATTTCCGAAAGCATCGCTACTAATTTCACCACCTTGCCTTTCATGTTAAGTGTATCACCCCCCGCGGGTGATGAAGCCAATGGCTTGATAACACTATAGAACTGCCGGACTTGGCGAAGCCAGAGCTCCGGCGCGTTTGACTGCTCTCGTGTCTTCCAATTGGCAAGATCTTCCGGGGACGAAATAAACTCGGTTGTTACTTCATGTGGGCCTCGAACTCGAACAATCTGTGCAATCCCAGTTGGAGAATCATATTGTGAGGGCCATCACACAAAGCATTACAATCGGTTTTGCCTCAAACTTCTTGTATACAAACCTGTGGAGTTCTCATGACTAGCACCACAGCAACTAACTGGTCAGGTGTGAAGGTGGCTGAAAATGCAAGTGTCTGTCCAGTACTGTCAGGTAAGAAACAGTTGCAACATATATCACTTTTAAACAACTTTATCACACCTGTCTCCTCTTCGGAATAGCGTCTGCAATGTAGCGGATCTATACCATAGACATGAATAAATAAGTCAGCCTCGAATCAGGTAGGCACTGAAACGCCCCTACGTGTGTTCTTACATCTTTCTCGAAGTCTTGTGCCATGAGTTTGTCGACTTCATCTAGTATCAGCAAGCGAATAGAACTGCATGACAGTGAGCCCTGGTCCACCAGCGCTTTCACACGACCCGGCGTGCCCACCACGATGTGGCACCCTGCTGCCAAGTGCATCTGCATAAGCAAGCATAGCGTCTCCGCTCTAATCAATATCACCTCCAACTACACCCATCAATCACCTGCATTGTACCTGGTCTTGAGTCACTGACAGCCCTCCAATGCACGTACGGATAATAATCTCTGGTCGGAATTGCGCCAATTGGCGCAGCACCGACTCAATCTGGACCGCGATCTCTCGGGTGGGGGCTAAAATTAACGCCAATGGACCAAACACCACTATCTCATCTCTCTTCTGAAATCGATGTTCTACGTGGCGAATTGCGTGTTCAATGGCTGTAATCCCGAAGACTGCAGTCTTTCCCGTGCCGGACTTGGCTTGACCAATGACATCGTTTCCAAACAGAGCTACGGGCAGCGCGTGCAGCTGAATGGGCGATGGGCGCATAAAACGCATTACTTCAAGTGCATGACCGATATCTCGATGCAGTGGGAGGTCGTTGAACGTCGTTGTGCTGACAGTCGACGTCGTATCAGAGCGAGATGTCTCCATGTTATACGATGAACAATTTATCGCCTATCGAAAAAGTAGCCATTTCGTCACACGTCGCAGACACCTTCTGGTTGTTGATGTGGTGCACAAAACCGGCTGAAGATCCTTCCTTATCATACAAAAAGGATAAAAATGCATGGAAACGGGGACAAGATTGCGCAATTATTGGACAAGGTGTTTGTCATTTTGCTTGCAACGAAAGAGGTTCATAGACTGACTCAGCCTCTCTCTTTTTATGTAGACGACGGACTTTGACAAGGATGAGCGTTACATGGCGACGTCCGATCTGTGCGTCGAGCTTAATAAGGACGTCGACCTTGGGACGTATTTCGAGCCAAAGTACGTCTAGAAGGAGCTTGTAAATCTTGTGTTTTAAACAAAAGAATTCTTAGTCGTGTGTCGATTGTGCTGTAGAGTGTGTGCGGCTGTACTGAAACAACTGGACGACAAATCAAACGACGTACAATCCATTGCCGTCAAGTGTCTCGGCATCCTTGTCACTAAAGTGAAAGTGACACAAGTAGCAGATATCTGTGCCAAACTTTGTGACCTCATTTTGAATGGAAAGTCAGAACTTCGGGATATTTACTCGATCGGACTCAAGACGATCGTAGCAGACGTGTCACAAACAACGGGGGCGTCCATTGCTACGGGCATTTGTACGCGGCTATTGACGGGTCTGAGCAAGGAAAAAGATGCAGCTGTGAAATCGGAGACGCTCGATATTCTTACGGATCTATTGCGTCGCTTTGGCTACGACGTCGCCACGGAACACGCGGCAATCATGGAGCTGCTGATGGTGCAGCTCACAGACGACTCCCCGCTTGTACGAAAGCGTGCTACGTCATGTGTAGGATCGCTGGGTGTTATGGCATCCAATGTGCTAGTAAGTCGCTTAGTAGGGCACCTGATTAAGGGCATTCAGGGATCGACGGACCCGGCAAACTTGCGCACGCTAATTCAGACTATTGGGATGCTCTCACGCACGGCAGGGCATCGTCTTGGACAGCACTTGGATGCGGTAATCCGCATCTTGGCACAGTACTGTGGAGATCCTGAAGATGAAGCGCTACAGAACGAAGATTCAGACGAGCTCCGTGGAAACTGTTTCCAGGCTTTTGAGGCGTTCATAATTCGATGCCACGATGAGATCACGCCTCACGTGGAGACTATTCTAAAGCTTGTAATGCAGTTTATTCCGTATGACCCCAACTACAATTACGTTGACTCTGCTGACGAAGATGAAGATATGGACGAGGATGTGGAGGAATACAGCGACGAGGACGGCGACTACAGTGACGACGACGACACTAGCTGGAAAGTTCGTCGTGCTAGCCTTCGCGTTCTAAGTGCAATTATCACGACAAGACCAGAGCTTTTGGAGCAGCTGTACATTCTGTGTGCCCAGCGTTTAGTCTCGCGCTTTAAAGAGCGAGAAGAGAACGTACGGATCGACGTATTTGGAGTTTTTGCAGACCTTCTTCGTGCTACTTACAAAACACTTCCGAGTCCGAAAGGAACAACGTCCTTTCACCACCCGCCCACGTCCAACGCGTGCATTATCCAGTTGGAGCAGCGTTTGGACGCTATCGTTGTTGGAGCCAATAAGCAATTTGGAACGAAGGCTTCCGTTGCGTCGCGCTGTGCGGTGGTTGCGATGCTGAGTGAGCTGGCGATGGTAGAGCGTGGAAAGCTGGGAGACTACATTGGTCGTTTGATGCCGAATATTCTCAATGCAGTGGAGGACAAACACTCGGACTTGAAGCTAGAAGCACTTTTGTTTCTCCGGCTGCTTGTGGATACCCACAAAGTGGAGCCATTCCGACCGCACATTGATTCTGTCGTTAAAGTTGCAATGCAGTGTGCGAAGGGAGATTGGTACAAAACAGTGGCGAAAGCGCTTGGACTGATTGAATCTCTTGTCCGTATTATCCACTCGGACGGCGAAGACTTGACATATAAACCGTACGCTGTACCTTTCTTCGATGCGGTGCTGCCTAGCTTGAAAGTTCATGACATCGACCAAGAAATTAAGGAAGCTGCAATTAGCAGTATCGGAAAAATTGTTGCTACCCTGGGTGCGTGCAATGTTTATCATCGATAGACAAGTGCTGTTGATTTTGTGCGGAACTAACGAGGTGTTTTTATTTGACAGGTGATGAGCTCGGTCCACGAGTGGATGCAATCTATCCTTTGTTAATGGAGCGTTTAAACAACGAAATTACGCGCATCCAAAGCATAAAGGCTATCGGAGTCATAGCTCGCTCGAAGCTCAACTTGGATATGTCTTCCCTTCTCGTGGAGTGCACTCAGACTTTAGCCCAGCTCCTTCGTCAGCAGTCCCGCACATTGAAACAAGCGACATTGGCTACTCTTAACGACCTGGTTGTTCACAAGGGGGCCAAACTGCCAGAAACGCTTCATTATGAGATAGTGCTGGAAAGCTCACTTCTTCTTGCGGACGTGGATCTCCAGCTGTGCCGTATGAGCATCACATTGATATCAAACTCTCTTTGCGTGTGCCCGCATGTGGCATTGACGGACGCTTTGCTCCAGAACGCTCAAGTAAAGGCACTGAAACTCTGCCATAGCTCTATGCTCCAGGGCGTCACTTTGGATGCCCTGGAGGACCTTTTTGCGCAGTTGACACAACTGGACTCACCAGGTAGCAGCTTTATGGAACTGTTCAAGGCGCTGATGGCTACATCTTCTGAAGAATCAAAGCACTCCATGCTGAATATCGCGAGATGTGTCGCTTGCACATGTGTGGCTACGACGGAGCAAAATCGCAAGGTGGCTTTTGCAAAGTTTGTTGGTGACATTACACAAAGAGAATCTGAAAAGAACAATGTGTTGGCACTTTATTGTCTGGGAGAGTTCGGCCGCAAGATTAAACTTACTGGCTATACGGATGTGAAAGAGATCATTCTGAAGTCCTTTAACGATGCCGGTGAAGAAGTAAAGGCAGCAGCTGCGTACTCGCTTGGTAGTATCTGCGTTGGCAACATGGAAGAGTACCTGGACACTATAATGGTAAAGTTAGAGCTTGGCGAGAACTCTTACCTGCTGCTAACGTCATTGCGCGAAATCATTTCGGATCATGCAGCAAAACCCCACCATGGTTTTGCGATGTATGTGGACCGTGTGCTTCTCGTACTACAGAAAATGAGTGCTCGTCAGGAAGAAGGGGTGCGAAACATGGTTGGCGAATGCATGGGAAAGCTTGCTGTGACGGACAGTGCAAAACTTATGCCAATTGTGACGGAACTGTGCGGATCTTCAGACGTATGGTCACGTTGGACCGCCGTGACGAGTCTTAAGTATGCGATGACGACAACTGCCCCGAAACCAGCAGTTGATGCAATCTTTGCTCACATTGACCCCTTCTTGGCTGCACTTGAAGATGAAGACTTGCACGTGCGTCGCGCCGCACTGCTGGTCCTCAATACGGCTGCTCACCACCATGCTCACTACCTGGTGCCATACGTTCGCGAGCGGATATTCCACGTGCTCCTGAAAACGACTGAAATCAAGCTAGAGCGTGTGGTGGACCTTGGTCCGTTCAAGCACAAAGTGGATGATGGCCTTCCTCTTCGAAAAGCTGCATATTCGTGCGTGGACACTCTAATCCAGGTGTTACCTCAGCAGCTCGACATCACCCTGTTCTTCGACCAACTCAAGCGAGGTCTTGGAGACCAGGACGACATCCAGATGCTCAGTCACCAGATCTTGATTAAGATCTGCTACGTTCAGCCTGGTAGTATTGTTGGCGCCCTGGATGCATTGGTGGAACCGTTAGAGAAAACAATCAACAAAAAGGTAAAAGAAGATCAGGTTGGACCCGAGGTCGAGCGTGTCAAAGATCTCATTCGTAGCGCATTGCGTGCGCTCGATGCGATCAGCGCTGTTCGTGACGCTGACTCCCATCCAAAGCTGAATACCGTGATGGAAAATGCGAAGAAGAACAAGATGCTTGGCACGCTACTGGAGACCATTCGAAATGAGCGCACGGGTAACTGAGCCGATCCAGCAAACGCGATAGGACCAGAGCGTGTCAAATCGAATAGGGGTGGTGATTTTCCTCCAGCTCAGGTTGGCAGCCATACGAGTATTTGATTGAAACGCGTTCATGCATGAGAATTTACAGCTCACCATTTGGCCCGCGCTTCGACGAGGATGCATTCCGTCGGTGTGTACGTCCTGATGCTCCCTTCGCTTGCTTTCGCTCGTCGGACTTACAGCTTTTTTTGCTTGATCTTTGCTGCTATCGTTTGAATATGCTTTGCCATTCCACTCGTTACCCTCTGACATCGCGCTGCTCGTCAAGAACTTCATAATGTCGTTAATGAAGATCCCCAACGAGCAATTTTGGTCGAGAATTTTGCAGATAAATACCTGGATGCGGCTATTCTACAGTAACTGGAACAAGAATCGATAACATTACCACGGCAGACATGTAAGTGGGTGGATACTGACATGGAAATCGCCATCGAATGATCGTCTCACCTTATTCTATCGTGATGCAACGTCAAGAAGTGGCTCATCATGAATATACTAATCTATATGCAGTCCAAAGCCTTTTTGCCTTCTTCTCGTCCCTATGACATCGTTACATGTACTTGCTCCATCTCGTGAAATATCTTGTTGACAGTCAGACAGATCGCTGGCAACTCTAAGAGTGAGCCCTTCGCCGATATTTGCGCTTTTGTTGTATCTGATAAACTCACATGTGTGCAGCACCTGCTCGTCGTCTTCCAATTGCCAGGCTATCGTCTTCTTTTGCACGGACACACTTCAGACATAACATATTAGCTAGAATCTGGCACGACAGCAACACCGCATCAACGTCAGAGGCGAAACAGTGATTCACGAAGACAACAACCCACGTAATGATGAAGTTTCTTCGAAAGAATTGTAAGATTTTCCAATTTGGATTAGCAGTCGGCAAGAGGTCAAATATGAACAGGTAGTGTGCCGTAAGCGGTACTCGCCACAGCAGTTCTACGTGTAGCAAGCATCTATGGACGATCAGCTTGTCAAAACACCTACTCTTCGGCAGGTACGACAGGCTTGTCCGCCAGCTTGAGCTGCTTACGCACACGCATCTTGAAGTCCGAAATCTCGCCCTGGTACACCTTAATAGATTGGTTCTCCACAAGCCAAATCTCTTTGGCGACCTGCGAAATCAATCGCATGTCGTGACTTACCAGCAGCATGCCACCCTCAAAGTTGTTAATGGCACGCGCCAATGCATCGATCGATTCCATATCCAAGTGATTCGTAGGCTCATCCAACAGCAACATGTGTGCGTTTTGTTGAGCCATGTACGCAAATACGACGCGACTCTTCTGCCCATCAGACAGCTGGCCCATGACCTGTGTCTGCACGTCACCTGTGATACCGTAACGTCCCAGGTAGCTGCGCACCTCCTCGACGGACTTTGTCTGGAAAAGTGAGCGGAAGTACTCAAGTGGTGCCTTCGTCAGATCCAATACATCAACGAAGTGCTGGCTGAAACGCGCAATACGCAGCTTACTGTGTGGCCGAACACTGCCTGCAACAGGCACTAGGTCTCCCGTGATCAACTTCAGCAGTGTGGTCTTACCCGTACCATTGGCGCCGACGAGAGCGACACGCGAGTCCAAGTCCAAGCCCATCTCCACGCCAGAGTAAAGCAGAGGAGAGTTCGGGTAGCCAAATGAAACGTTTTGAAACATTAGCACCGGAGGCGGCAGCGCCTCGGGGTTGGGAAACTTGAAGTCGCCGATTGATTCCTGTTCGACCTTCTCCGTCAGACCGTCACGCACCATCTTCGCAAGTGTCTTCTCTTTACTCTGAGCCTGACGAGCAAGTTTCGCGGAACCGTGACCGAACTTGGCAATGTACTCCTTCATGTGCTTGATCTGATCCTGCTCCCAGTTGTAACGCTTCATCTGGTTCTCCTCCTTTTCTGACTTCGTACGCACGTACGTGTCGTAGTTACCGGCGTAGTACTCGAGCTTCTTATTAGTGAGGTCAATAATATTCGTACAGACCTCATTCATGAATTCCTGTGAGTGCGAGATCATGAGCAATATCTTTTTCCACTTGGCCAAATAGTCCTCAAGCCAGACAACGGCTTCCATGTCCAAATGGTTAGTAGGTTCATCTAACAGTAGCAACGTTGGCTGAATGAATAGAGCACGAGCGAGAGCGATACGCATACGCCATCCACCAGAAAACTCCTTTGTCTTTTTTTCCATCATGGCGTCTGAAAACGTCAAACCCGACAGAATCTGCCGGGCACGGACTTCGGCCGTTGCAGCGTCCATATCATCAAGACGTTCGTACAAGTCTGTCAGACGGTCCGAGATAGCTTCACTGTCCTCTTCACTGATCGATTCATCAGTCATCTGTTCCGAGAGCTCGTCAGCCTCATTCTGGAGTTTGTTACGCTCTTCGTCCACAGATAAGACCGCTTCAAGTGCCGTCATGTCACTAGCTTCAATTTCATGCTTGAGATGGTAAATGTCAATACTTTCCGGGATAGGAATGCCCCGTGCACCCAACACATTCATAAATGTGGATTTACCCGAACCATTACGACCAATGAGACCATAGCGACGGCCATAGTTGAGTGAAATATCACAATCTTCCATAAGAACCTTTCCAAAGTATGTAATACTAAAGTTAAGTACATTAATGTCCTTAAAGTTCTTGTGAACCGAGCGCACATTGTGTGAACAAGTAGCAATGATACCTGCTTCAGCAAGACGATCAGCCTGCGACATGTTCTCAAGTGCCTCAGCCTTTTCAACTGCTTTTTTCTCCTCTGTTGCTTTCTTGCGTGACTCTTTCTTTCCCTTACGTTCCTTTTTCACACGTAATTCTTTCTTCTCACGGGCCATGGCTGCTCTGTTGCTGCTACTTAAGATCTCTGTTTGGTTTGGTCGCAAAACCAAAGTGAGCCAAGCAAAATGCATGGCGTAGGATAAAACCTCGTAGTATTAGAACCTCATCTAACTGTGAAACATGATAATTCAGGAGCAACGTTGTGGTATACAGCCTACTAGTCTGTTTGCTTTGTAAAATATATATCCTCTCGAACTCATTCGTATCTCTTCTAACCTAATTTTGAAAAACGATTGGCTATCTAAGCTTTACCAATCGTAAACTGTAGCCATCTTTCAGATTTCGCTTTCGCGTCGGCAGTAACGCTTGTACTGTAGTACATTGTATTCTCTGGAGGACCTCTGTTTTTTATTGTCCAGTGGGCATAACTATGTCGAATAGGATGCCACAGGCAGGCCAAACTCGTCGGTGGCGCGTGTTGTTCTTCCAGAGTCTAATATGCCAGAGGGCGCGGCAGGCAGTCCATGTTGCTGTGCTGGTGCCGCCAGGTACGACGGCGCCTGTTCTGCTTTCTCACCGACTGCCTCCTCCTCGGCCCATTCTTCCTCCAGACCTTCCAGCTCTGCTTCCAACTCGTCTTCGTCGATTTCATCTCCGATGCTGGGAGGAAAGAAGGGCAATCATCAGACAGAGTAAGGTCCCACTTCGTAGCATCACCGGTGTGTTGTTTTAGGCTTTGCATGTACGTACCCATAGGAGCGACCCATGAGCTCTTGGATCTCGTTCATATCCTCCATCAGGTCAGCCATATCATCTTGTGCATCCTGCACCATACAAGGACACAACGAGTCTGTTTGTCGATATTTGACAGCATAATCTCTTCTCTCCCTCTTTTGTGAAAACCCACCTCCAGCTCCGACATGTTAATTTTCTTGGTCTCCACACCCAATTGCACAACTGCACTCTTCATGGCAGCAACTGTGGAAATTGTGTCCCTTGATGTATCAATTGCAAACGCCGCCTTACATGTCAGAATGGGATCATCGTAGTGCCAATGCAAAAAAAGCGTCAGCGTCTTGGGCTTTTACATCACTTCAACTGCCTCACTGAACCTGTTCAATATTAAAAGACTGAGCTTGTAACTTGTCTCGTTGTGCCTCAAACATTTTCTTGCGCTTAAGCGTCTGTATAGCTCGTTGCTTGATTGCGTTACTAGCTGGACCTCGTGTTTTCTTCATTTGCTCGCGATATTTGCGTACGTCCTCGTCCAGTTTCTCAATCTATACCACCAAATAGTCAGTTGTCCACTACGTCTACCTTTGTAACGAGTAGTTGTAAGCCCATGTTTTCAACTTACTTTCTTGTCCAAGTCAGTCACTCGGGTATCAATTTTATCTCCTACATCAGAAACATTCACAGGCGGCACCTCGGGCTTCTTCTTGCCAAAAACGCGATTCATTTTATTAGTGGCTCCGTGATTTGCAAACAATTCCTCGAATGTACTACTACTTTATATAAGATTATATTTCAATCGAGTGCTATGAATACTACTTTGATTTGCAAGCAATAGTACTAGCAAATACTACCTATAGCTTGACTTATAAAAATATTAATATAGTCGTAGAAATTACACTTGAAATACTCGAGGAGTCCAAATATGCATATACACATAGAATATTACATTACAAATCAAATATTTTCTGTAAGCACAGAAAGCAAGGATATTGCAATACAAAAAAACTAGCAAATCAAGAGCATCAACGGGACGTCGGAATACTAGCCAAGCGATGGGACTGCTGAGTATTCTCAAGAAAGTCAAGGAAAAAGAGAAAGAAATCCGTGTTCTTATGCTGTTGGTTTTTTAACGCTGAATTTGTCGCTTTGTCAATGGAGAATATTCGAGTCAATACAATAGCTGAAGCTAATGTATTTTTCTGGTGTTTAATTTACTTCGATAGAGGCCTGGACAACGCCGGTAAGACGACAATCTTGAAGAAGTTTATGGGTCAAGACATTACAGAAATTTCTCCTACTTTGGGATTTGATATCCAGACTCTTGAGTACAAGGAGTGAGTGAGGCTTATGTACTGGCTGAACATATGGAAGACTCAACCATTGTGTGTTACTTGTTACCATCGCATTTAGCTTTAAGTTAAATGTATGGGACGTTGGTGGCCAGCAGACAATTCGATCATATTGGAGAAACTACTTTGAGCAGGTTTGGACACTACGAAACGCCTGTGTTGATTGCAAATGGAAGTTCTCATAGTGTGTGACTCACAGACGGATGGCCTCGTGTGGGTGGTGGACAGCGCTGACCGGCGAAGACTTGAGGATTGCAAGCGCGAACTTGCAAATTTGCTGACTCAAGAGGTGTGTTTGAATCTCCATCAAGTGTTTATCTGCATCTATTGTTTCTAAGACTGACTGCATCACTCGGTACTCTTGGTCGTTTTTCGAGTAGAAACTAGCGGGTGCAACGCTACTGATCTTTGCCAACAAACAAGATTTACCAGGAGCTCTTCCTTCGGCAGAGATTGCAGACGCATTAGGTCTGCACTCAGCTCAGTTTTCTAGTCGACACTGGAGTATCATCTCTTGCAGTGCCGTTACTGGCGCTGGTCTCGTTGATGGCATTGACTGGCTTGTTGGTGATATTGCGAGTCGTATATTCCTTATGGAGTAGTGATTACTCGGTAATGTAAAAGCCAAGAACATTTTAGCACGAGTGAACCAATTGGTAGCGACATTCTTAAGCGAGTTATTGCAATACTACACCATAAAAAACTCAACAATTTCATATTTTCCCATTGTTTTATTTCCAACAATTAGCTCAAAATCGTAACGTCAATGGAGACCGTCGATCCATCGACAGCTCTGGCCATGACGACGAAAGCTTTAGCATTTGATATGAATTTACGTCTATGGCGTGTAGAAGTATCTCTTGCTGTACGAAAACTTTTGTCTCTTGGACGTACCTATGAAGTCCATTATTCACTACCTCGTGATCCCGTGGAAAGTCTAGAGCTCACTACAAATTTTGGTCTTTTTGTGACTGCAACAATGAACTCTCATGTATTTCAAGTGGAAAAGATCCAAGCACCTCAGTATTCAATGGCATTTGTGGACAAAGTAGCAGGTCGTTCTTCAATTCATACCCCCATCTGCACCGTGGAAGCAGATGATTATTTGGTTGGTATCGGTACTGAGGATCTTCTTCTTTGTCCACGAACACTCAAGCAACTTCATAAAGATGTGGCAACTCTTGGATCTCAAGTCACAATCAAACAGGAACATGAGAAATCATCCTGGAGGACCATTGTACTACGTTTCGTGCGCTTAGGGGCGTCAATAAAGGCAGATCCAAGACAAGTACGTACTCCCGGACGGATCCTACGTCTTCTTGATGAAATGAGCATGCACCACGTGCATTTGGCGAAACGATACGATGAATTGATCAAACAGGACCGAATAGCAGTACAACGACTGCACTCGGCAAAGAAGTTGCTGATGTATGTGAAAGTAATGACGGGTGATACAAAAAACACCTTGATGCAGGACAGAACGTTCCAATTTACAGACAAGTTCCGAAAATGGTATGCTGCGATCACCAATGAAGAGGCTCCCACTGTAAATAAGCATATCGTCATGACCAATGAGCTCGAGCATCCGGCGGAGGATATGGCAATCGAAATCAATTCAGAGCAACCTGAACATGATTGCTACACTGGCTACACTGGCTATACTGGCAACTCGATTGTCAAATCAATACTACGCCAGCAAAGCTCGTATTCATCCTCGTCTGGTCTATCGGCTGATGTCTCGAAAAGACGTGTTACATTTGCCACGGATTTAACAAATGGGCAGACCAGTACCGCTGAACGATTCGTGAAGTCTACACAAGTTCCAGCTCCGATGTCGGCTCCTCCGTCTCTCCCGAAACAATCGAATGAAGATAGCATGACTACGAAGATAAGGACATTTGGTGTGGAGGAAGGCCGATCGTATCTTATGGCTCTGATTGGCCCTAATGTCGACCTCGTGTCATCACTTCAAGAACTAACAACTGCTGTTCAAACTGTGCCCTCGCTAGTCATCAACAAGGAGCTCATATTGGCTCCAGGCCTTAAGGTGCGTTTGTAGTATGCTTTCTTTAGAAATGCAATGGAACTGACCGCTGCTTTTCTCAGCTTCGATGCGACATACAATCGAATAAACCGGGTCAATATAGTGCCCATGTTCGGCTAGGGCATTTGTCATTCAATTGCACTGCTACGTGCGAGAGGGATGCCACCACTGGTGCACTGATACGGCTAACACGAGCAATTAGCGAACACCGAAGATTGTACGGTAATATGCTGTTGTATTTGAAAGCACAGTTTGGTTTCTGTACAAGCAGCGATTCCCGAAAAGTGAAGGACGCAGCCTTCAACTACCTTATCAAAAAGAGGATAGTGCGAGTACGTTTGCTTTTGTGTGCGGGTGGGCATTGGTCAATGACTCTAAGAAACTAATGTGCAACTGCTGTGCACAGCTTTTGGAAAGGCCAGGTGGAGAACCCGGCAACGTCATTTACGATGTTGTGGGTCTAATCCAAGAATTTCCACTCATATGTAGACGTGGTTCATCCCTCCCCAGTACGAAAAGTGAAGTAGTTGATGCACTTATGATGTTCTTGATGGAACTAGTTGACCAGTATGAGGAGAGTCTGAAACGCGACCGCGTTGAACAGATTAAGAATGAAATCAAACCGAGAACAGATGAGAAAGAAGGTGCTGAGGCTCATGTAGAAAGCACATATGATTCCGATGAGATGGAAGACGTATGCGATCGCACTAAAAGCATTGACAGTGACAAGAGAGTCGCAGAGTTAAGATCGATGGGTATTTTGCGAAAGCGACGCTATGCACCGGATGTAGATGATGTCCATGAAGACGAGCGTGGGGCAACCCGTCCTCGCTTGTCGTATTCAACCCCGGACCGACAAGCACTTGTACGGCCTGATAAACGACCTGTGGAGCAAGGTGGTGACAATGTGGCTGCTGTGAACGTAACGAACCTGTTTGTTGAAGACCGAAGCGGATCAAATCGCAATCGTGATACACCGTCCCGCTCTGAGGATGAAGTTGCAAAGGCGAAGTCGGATGTGTATCAGGGGTTGCTAATGTTTCTTTTCCAGGATTGGAGTAAGGTTGGAAAAATCGTAAAGGATACCGTGTGGGATCTGAGCGTGGAGTCGGAAACAATTAAGATTACGTCCAGTTTTACGGTAGGCTTTTACGCTCGAGCTGGGTTGGTGTATCATTGTACCTTACATCTGTATGACATGTGCAATGCGCGACATTCTTCTAGATTCACCGGACTGCTGCAAAGCAGAACAATGGGCTGATCCGCTGGGAGCTCACTGCGTCAGAGGGCGTGGTCAAGGCCTGTGGGGAAGGATCCTCTACTGAAATCGCGAAGGACAAGGCAGTTACAATTCTGGTTAACACGCTGGATGGGATGGTTCAGACGTGGAAGGCGTTGCTTTCTACGTATAACGAGCGGCTAGCTCGAACCCCAACAACATTGATGGCCGCGAACGAGACACAAGCTAAAAATCGCGACAAGGTAATAATTGATGATCAATATTGCGAATACTGGCGCAAGGTTGATCGGCCAACCTAATTTCTTTCATTTTGCTACTGCATAATAGGTGTCAACATCGGAAAAGCTTGTGCCACCCATGTTTATGTATTTTATCAAAGTTCGCAATACGCTAGCAATTTCAACGGCGTGTCTAAATGCGAAAGATGCGAAGCGTTCTGCCAACGAAAGATGGCGCGACATCCTGGAATCACTGAAGAAGATGATTGCAGCTTCATCATGCTTGCCGAACAGAAGCACGAATGCGGCACATGCTGCCGCGGCATCTCAATCTAGAGCTTCGACAGCAGCCGCCTTGGTGAAAAAAGCCAATCTTATCTTGTGCAGTGACGACGAGATGGATAATGATGACGATGACTATGATAACTACTCAGATAAAGCATCGGATGATGACGATTGGGATCCGTCAGTAGTTAAGACAGCACCAGATACAAATGCCGTGGCAGAGCTGAAAGCTTTCGAAAGTGAGCTTCAAAAGGAGTATGCTGAGCAGTCTGAGTCCTGTCTCTCCGATGATTCAAAATTCCGTGCCGCGATCCGAAGCCTGTTTACTCCAACAGATGAGCTATGTGCCGGAATTAATAGGCTTCGAGCGTCACTTAAGTACCGGGGAGCTGAACACAGAATAATCGTTCCCAATGTCACAGCGAATATTAAGATGGAGCGCCTTCAAGAAGGTATCTTTGAAGTTCTTGTCGACGTCAACGACGTTATTCGCTTCAAGGCGTCGGAGAGAACAAAGTCTGGTGCTTGTAATGCTGCTGTCGACGGTGTGCTGAACAAGCTGAACAAGATTCGATCGGTATGGGCGCAACTTCTTCATTTCCTAGACGTCAAATCTCTGTCTTACGTCTCGCCCATTGACTCTTTCCGAGACCTCAAGTTATCCGGCATCGCCAGTGTTCGTAACTGCTTTTCGTATGACGAAGAACCGATTCTTGGCTTTACTAACCTCAATAACATTTGTTGTTTGCGCTCTCATCAGATTACAACTCAAGTAGAAGAGCCGTCTCGAGCATCATTCGGTCCTGATTCTCGCGCAAGTCCTGGTGTTCACTGCGTTGTACGAGTAGACGATCATGTCTTGTGCCGAGCAACATGGAAAACAGAAGCGGAGGCTCGTCGTTTGGCCGAGTGGAGGGCTGCACAATTTTTGATTGATTTGATTGACTGTGGGCTTGATTCGAAGCCACTCAAAACCGAAGATGAGAAGATGGAGATCGATGACGAATTATCAAGCGTCGGAAAAACCGTTGCTTGGTCATGCCTCATTCGGATCCAGGATGCATCTGATACTAGTAGGTTTCACGAATTTCCAGTGGATGCATTCTCATGCCATACTCGTAACGGAATGGTGCCTAAACATCTCCCAGATAGCCGCAGCATAGTGGTGACACAGCGTGGAGCTGTGAGAATGGAACGAATAGAGACCGAAGTTCGCAATCTTCACGATTCAGCAATGGCATTTTTCTGCATAGAGTCTGCGTATGATCACTGGAAATTTGTGCGACAATTGGTCCGTTATTCGGACAAAAGAAAGCGTATTGCACGTGTACTTGCGCTTTCCATTTCCCCCGAGTGTCCGTACAATATGTACCTGATTCCGCCAGGGGCATCCATAAACAGTGAGCACAACTCGTACTGGCCGGAAAAAGCGTTGCCTCGCTTTGGAATTGGGCGTAAGAATGTGGTTGGATTCTTGACAAAAAAGAGAATGGACTAAGTCATGCCATCGTAGACGAACAACAGCAGCAGCAGCAGAGAATGAAGACCCGAGGATTAAGCAAATGTAACAATTTGGCTTTACTAGTGCAATTGTCGTGTGTGATGCCTGCCTACCTATACGGATTTGAAGCAGGTTGTTGTCGTTACTATCGTCCGTTATGCTGAAATGCCGCGCGGATCATCTCAAGGTACTCAGTGTTATGACTTTCAAACCGATGCTGTCCTCATTCGCTAAGTATCTCACCTTCATGACGATGTTAGGTGCAGTATCAAGAGCGAGACGTAAATCAGATAGGATGTTGAGGCTGTGTACTTGCTACAAAGTAGCTGCAAGCCAATCAAGGAATCACATGACGACATCTCGACTTGTGAAACGAATAGCAGCATTCGTGGAGCAGCAGCTCAAAAGTAACGACGCATCGCATGACTGGCACCACATTGAACGTGTCTGGACGGTGGCAAGGATGCTAGCAAAGGAGGAGGTGGGTGTCATTGCAGCTATGGATGCTCGGAGCTCTTGGGCTGGATGTTAATGGAAACCTTTTGATGCGAACAGCTCGTGCCCGAAGAAAATCTAGAGATTGTGGACCTGGCGGCACTGCTGCACGATCTCGATGACTGGAAGTACCAGAGCAACAAGGAAAAGCCTACGAAGCGGGCAGTGGCTATCCTGCAGTCGGAGAATGTACCAAGTGACAAGATCAAACGTGTGATGGACATTATCGACAGGATGGGGTTCAAAGAGGAGCTAGAAAGCCAAACCACGGGACGTTTCGTGCTGCTTGAAACTATTGTGGCAGCTACTAATGTCTTTGTTTGCTGTCTGAATCATCAGGAATCGTATTCTGTTGAGTACGGCTGCGTCCAGGACGCCGACAGACTGGTATCTTGGTATCTATCAAGTAAATGCGAGAGGTGATGGAGCTCTTACGTCTTGTTTTTCGTGTAGGATGCGATTGGAGCTGTTGGAATCGCTCGTTGTTTCACGTACGGAGGACACAAGCGGCGACCGCTCTATGATCCGAACGTACCTCCAATCGATAGCATGACGAAGGAGCAGTACATGGATCCGAACCGTCCCAGTACTACCATCAACCATTTCTACGAGGTACAGCACGTACTGCTTTCATAGATGTGCGAAACAGTTTGGTTCGAACAGTTCTTGATGATCTTGTCATGTTGATATGATTGTGTGTGCATCGAGTAGAAACTCCTAAAGCTTCGTGGCATGATGAAGACCAAAGCAGGGAAGCGTTTGGCCGAAGAACGTCACACCTTTATGGAGACATTCCTGGATCAGTTCCACAAGGAGATCAGCGGCAGAGGATAGAGATATGTACATCAACAAACTCGTTTAAACTGTCATCAAGGCAAGCACAACAAGCTGCAAAGACACTTTGGATGTTTTTATCATCACTTTGGATGGTTTTCCCATGATTGCTAGGCTTCTGTATCTTGCTCAATAGTCATCCACAGTCAGTCATCCAAGCGCGTGACTGACTCGCTTTTATCCAGGAGGCCAGCCAAGTTTGCGTCCACCAAGAACATGCAAGTGCAAGTGAAACACGGATTGGCAGCCATCCTCTCCATCATTAATAACGATACGAAAACCCTTGTCCAGCTGTTGCTGCTTTGCGACGAGCTTGGCAGTGTACAGTAAATGCCCAAGAAGGGCTTCGTGGCGCTCCTCTGCATGTGCAAGTTGAGTGAGACCGTCGTGTTTCTTGGGAATGATAAGAATATGAACAGGCGCCTGTGGATTCACATCGTGAAAAGCAAGACATTGTTCGTCCTCGTACGCGATCTTGGCCGGAATCTCTTTCCTGATGATTTTATCAAAGATAGTTTCATTTACGACAGTAGAAGCGGCACCGGAAGCAGCAGCAGCAGCGTCAGCCTTAAGACGTTCGTCATGGGAACTCATGGATTGGAGTGTAAACGGGGCAAATGAACAGCGCAACCGTAAGGACTTGGACACGAGGAAGCTACGGCTGCGTACGAGCATGCGAATCAGAGACTGATTCGTTACAGTAAAGGCCTAAAAAATGGGTACTTTTTGCCTTAACTTGTACGCAATAACCCCCAAAGTGGCCTAGTTTTCTGTCGTAGACTACCCGTGAAATCCGATTTCACAGGCTCCTTGTTTGCACACCACACATTTGCTAATAATCACCCACATCAAAGACGACACAAGAGCCATAAGTTTTGTCCGTCCCGTAGCATGGACAGCAGCACTACAGACACGACCGAACCACCACGACCACCACCACTACAACAGCAGGATCGCGAGACAATAGACTCAATCTTTAGTGTATTGATAGTACCACCTCGTACTAAAACGAATGAGTCTGTACGTCTTGAGAGTATCAGTTCTTCCGACTCGGTCATGTCTTTACGTCAATTGATAGCTGAATTTCCAGCTCTTGCCTGTTATACGTGCTACCATTTGGAAGTTCAGAATCCTGTGGATGATACGTGGCAAGTGCTGAATGATTTTGTGGAATTAGGTGAGTACGAGACTGTAAAAGACGGTGTGACATTACGAATGGTACCCGACACATATGACGCCCGTAAAGTACGAGCTCATGTCCGTCGCTTTCGTGACGTGCATAGCAATCCTCCTATTCCTCAAGTGGCAATTGAACGTGCAGCCATTCAATCTGAAACTGTGGAACAAGTGGAAGAAGTGACCGAGAGTAACGAGATGAAGGAGGAGAAACTCAAAGAAATTTCGGAACAACAGCTCAAACGATTGCGAGAGATTCATCACAAGCTTGAAGGAATTGAAGTACCTGTTTTGCCTGATCTTGTTGAGTTTTACTCTTTTCCAGGAGTAAAGGAGACAGAGCAGGAGCATGTGGAAGTATCTACGAAGAGCAAAGACCAGAAGAAGAAAAAAGGAAAGAAAAACCAACCGAAACAAAAGTTGCAGCCGATTGAAATGAACCAGGTGAAGGACAAGGAAGAGCAGCTTGATGCTAAGCTCCCTGTGTGTGTTGAAAGCATTATCTTCTCGGGCTACAACCCTCCCCCAGGACCACGCAAATTGGCAGGTGATCTGCTCTATCTGGAGGTAGTTGTCGCTGGTGACAATACACGCTACCATATTACGGCACATGTGAGTGGCTTTTACGTCAACCGCTCGACAGCTACCAAGTTTGACCCACAACCGCACAAAACGAATGCGGCCCATGCGCACCTGTTGGTAGATTTACTAACCACGGTGTCGCCGAAGTTCAAAGAGTCGTACGCTGCACTTCTTGCCAAGGCTGCTTCTCTGGCCAAGGAAGGGCCTTCTTCAATTGAGTGGATGGTGGCTGCAGGCTCCAACCTGGGTGGCAAGTTGCCGTGGAACACGCCTGCTTCCGCGATGGTAGAGCACAAGTACGACCTTAATCGTGCTGAGGATGAACTTTGCGCATCCTACGGCATGGACGAACGTGGTGTACTGCGGGACTGGAACGAGGAGTACCAGTGCTGCCGTGAGTTGCCGACAGATACACTCAAGGAAGAGATTGTGCGCGCTCGTGTCATGTACAAGATCGTGGTAGAGTTTGTGGAAGCTGCAACACAGGGCGCGGTGGCTATCGTTGAGGGAAACATTCCTCCTATTAACCCCATGGACGACCAGAGTGCTCACGTCTACGTATTCAACAACATTTTTTTCTCCATGTCCATCGATGGCAAGTCTATCAAGGATGCAGCGGGTGGTGAAGAGAATGCTTACTCGGCTGCTAACCGCGACTTGCAGGGTGTAAAGGCATTTAACGAGGCGGATGTTCGCGGTCTGCACACGCTGGCCACAACGGTCGTGGATTATCTTGGTGTCCGCGTCATTGCCCAAAGCCTCATCCCAGGCATTCTTATGGGAGATGCAGCCTCCAAGCTTGTGTACGGCTCTGTGGATTATGGGAAAACTATTGCAGCGAGTAGCAAGATGCACACGCTAATGCTCGAGGCAGGTACGAAACTGCACATCGCAGAGCGTAGCATCAAGCCACTTGGTAAAAGTGAAGAAGACCTGGCTGCTGAGAAGGAGCAAGAGGCTAATGGCGTTCTTCCCATGAGCGGTGGTGACGCAGGCACTGATGTAGCAACAATCTGTGGTGCAGTTGAAGCTAAAGGAATCCAAGGCTCTGATGGCCGTCTCTATGTCCTGGATCTTGTCCGTATTACCCCTAAGGACTGGACATTTTACAAAAACAGCGACGATGTTGAGAACACCGAGGAGAAGACGACCAATGCAGCTGAAGTAGACGGGCTGTGCTTCACGCGTAATGATGAGGGTTATGTTGCTCTACTACGCCCGGAACTGGTCCATCTGTATTCGCTGTGGAAGCAGAATCAGGCTCGCCGCGCCAATCGTGAGGCTCGTAAGGCAGCAAAAGCGGAAGTTGAGAAAGAGAAAGAGGAAGATGATGTTAAGACTGACTCGGATAAGAAGGAGGATTGTACATCTGAGAAGACAGAAGTGGAAGAGAATGAGCATAAGAAGGAGGTAGACGAAGAAGAGGAGACAGAGGAAGAGATTCCTCCGGTGGTGCTGAACCCGAACGTCTTCATGGAGTATACAGCTTCAACTGATGCAGAACAGCTCAAAACTGACGAGGCGGCCGCAAAAGATACCGCAGAGTATCTGCAAAAGATCGTTGTACCGGCTTTTGTTGCTGACGTTCGACGCGGTGCAATTGCCCCTGCTGACGGCTATGCTCTCACGCAGCTGATGCACTCCTGCGGTATCAACATGCGCTACCTAGGCCGTCTGGCATCACTTGCCAAGAAGCTCGAGGCAATAAGCGGAATATCCAAATATTTGCTCGAGCTGGTTGAAGTGGAAATGATCTCGCGCGTAGCTAAGCACATTCTGGCTGACGTCTTGAACTCTAACGACACCATCCGTGCTGCCCCTGGATCGGCGATTGTGAAGCTCCTAAATGGCATCCTCGGGTCGGCTTCAGGAAACACGAATATCGTGGATACAAATGATAACGACGACGCTACGATAACAACCTCTTTATTGGATCCCAAGTCACTGTGGACGTGCATTGACAACAAAATTAAGGCCCGATTTGACTACAAGTTGGCTCTTTGGGGTCCTGGGCGCGACAAATCAAGTGGTGAGGATGCCGCGTTTCCTGTTGGCCGTGTAAACAAGACGGTCATGCTGCGGCGTCTGTGCCAGCGTCTGGGCTTGCGTGTAAAAAGCCGTAACTACAAGTTTTCGTCATCTTCGCCGATCAATCTGGACGACATCACTGGTGTTGTGCCTGTTGTAAAGACCTCACTACCTGCTCACCCGTTGGCACAGGCTAAGAAACTCCTTGAGCGTGGACGCTTGCACTTGAGTCAGGGCGCCCTCTCCAGTGCGTATGAGTTTCTTCAGGAAGCGTCGTCACTACTTTTCCAAGTGTGTGGTGCAGCTCACGAGGATGCAGCTCTCTGCAGCTCATCGCTCGCTACTGTCCTCTACCACGCTGGTGACGTTGCTGGTGCTATTGCTCAGCAGCAGCGAGCGCTTGCTTTATACATACAACTCCAGGGTGCTGACTACCATGACACTGCATACGCGCACGCAAACTTAGCACTATTCCTGCATGCGAACGCCCAAACGGACCTGGCGGTGCCGCACATCCGCCGAGCCATTTACCTGCTGGAGTTTTGCTGTGGTCCTCACTTCCCGGAGATTAGCTCGCTATACTTCAAGATGGGTATGATGTGCCAAGACGTCGGGCAGATTTCGCTCGCTCTGATGTGTCACCGTGAATCGCTTCGCCGCGGCGAATTTGATCGCAACCAGGCGGCCAACACGCTTCACCAAATGGCCCTGGCATGCAGCCTGGCTGGCGGATACCGTGAGGCTCTCGCCTACGAGAAGAAGGTGTACTCGCTCTTTAAAGAGGCATTTGGTGATGAGGATCCGCGCGTGGTCGAGTCTGCCAAGTTTATGGCCAAGTTCACGGAGAAGGCTGTGGAGGGTGCTAAGGGCCGTCGGGAAGTGGATGCCGCAGCGGCGGCCGATGCCATTGCCAATCAACTGCTCGGAGAACTTGAGATCAAGACGGGGGCCGATCAAGACGCTGGATCACCGCCTGCCGTTAAAAAGAAAACGCGAAAGTCCAAAAGCGGCGGCAAGAAACACTAGTCATGCTCATTGTGGCTGTTCGTCTGTAGGAGAGAAAGCAATGGGAGAAAGATGACAGAATTGATAGACAGCGCTCGGCATACTTGTTGTTGCTCTCACATGCTGAACCAAGTCTTATACCTCCTGGTCAAAGTCTGTAGAGATCGATCGAGCTGTCCGGCGTCTTCTTTTCGTTCGCTCGCCATTCGTGCATTATCTTTCGCAATTTCGTAACGAGCAAGTCCACCTCACTTCGCTTCATGCCCAATGCACAGGCAAATGTGACGTACGCCACGGGGAACTCGTCGTAATGTGCTCCAAAGGAGATAAATTCGTGCCCCGCAATAGTCTTGCAATCGAGACATGATACCACCCTGAATCACCATGCATGTCAAAATGAGACTATCTCTGCCTGTAAATATGCCATGAAACTCACCTAGCGCCAGATACCCCACGTGAAAAGAGCATTGCACCAAGTAATGTCAGCCGCCGCGATTTCTCTTGTCTATCCTCAACTTCGGAGCAGAATGTCGCTAGTGTCAGTGCAAACGAGATCTATGCATATGCACATCGCAGTAAACAATAAGTAACCACAGGACCCATGTCCACCTAGCTTGTTTTTTTTCTTCATGCCTACCTCATTGCTGGAAACGTGTAGCACACGCTCACCCTCCTCCATTGCGACTATCTCGAGCTTCTCACGCATATAAGCTGCGAGATGTTTGCGCTCTTCCAGCAGCCGTCGATATTCATTCTTCCCCTGGAAACATATCGGATCAAGCACAATTAGATGTTGTAACTTGTCGTGACTGACTTAGCACTGAACGAACCATTTGAAGCATCGTGATAAAAAAATCGAGCATCGGGGTGGCGCTGGCACGTCCAGGGTAGAGTTTTGCTACGTTGTCAATGACTTCACGGGACGTCGAGCAGACAATTGCTCCACCCACGGGTACCAAGAAATTCTTGTCAAGACTTTGTACGACAGCATCCACCCGCCCCGTGCGCATAGCTGTTTCAATTTGGTGAACGCATGTCGATGCCTGGACACCATACGCATTATTGATCACATGTGCTTTCAACAACAACAACAACAACAATAGGGAGCATATCTCGTCAGCTATCACACAGTCAAGCAAACATGTATCGGTACCTGTTTACCAATTCCTCGTTCCAGACAAAGCTTGGCAATCTCTTTTACACGATCATACGCCCGTGGAGCAAAGCAGCTCGTAGTGCTACTCACAGCTAGAATGTTTTCACTCCCGTATTCATCCATCAAGGCTGCCATCCCTACCAAGTCTGTCTTCAAGTATCCACCCGAGTTGCCATCTTCCTCTACTAAAACATTTGCCAGCACTAGTGGGGTCAGTCCAGCCGCCAAAATGGACTTGAAGCACGACTTCTGGTCAATCCGAGGCCAGATGACGTAGCGTGCATTGGGCTTCAAATTCTTGAGGTGCAGCAGCACGAGCATGAGAGACATGCCTGTTGCCACAGGAAGCACCAATGCTGCTTTTACGGCTCGCATTCCAGCAAGATGAAGCACATCCTTGGCTAAAGCGTTGGCCAGCTGCACTATGAGCGACGATCCAGCAGCTTTCGGCTGCACCGCCGCCACATCTCCTGATCTTCCCACGCCATGTGCCAAGCCAAAGTGACGACGAGCTACCAACGGAGAAAATACACGCGCCTCTCGCTCACCAGCCCCTGCACTGCCTTGAAAATTGTTGCTGTCCATAGCCGAGAGTGTCTGCAATAGCATTTCCACGCTGGCATTGTCCCAACCTTCGTCAGGGAGACGACGCTGAGCCAACAATGTCGTTATTAGCTTCTCACGCGAGCGAATTGCAGTCATACCCTGCTGCACATAAGTCGACGGCACCAATTGCTCTGCCAGCGATGCATTCTTGGCATTCATTCTCCCAGAAATAATGAATATCTAGACCACAACAAATCCAATGAACGTGCAGCGATGACCGTGCAAAGTGTCACTGATACGAGATAATGCTTTCAAGTAGTCTAGCCAGGATAAAAAGCAAATGGAGAAATACATTTGCAAAGTATTATCTCCTGGTGTTTGACAGAATTCTTCCTGCTTTGCATCCACTGAGTCACTAGAAAATCGCAATCCGTTAGTGTCTAACTCGTCATTCCTAATGGGAATTAGTTTTGGCCAAACTGAAACATAGTAGGCTGGTCGGCGGATGTACCAAATTGGAACTGCTCTGCGTTCGCATTCGTGTCGGGCGCTAGGCTATCTTCCGCATCCTCGTCGCCATTGAAGTATGTTTCCACAATCTTCAAGGACTTTATGTAAATGTCTGTAACCACATTTATCGATCGTAAGAATTCGCTCAAAGTAAACAATTATGCCCCATGAGAAACGCATCGGAAGTATCTTACCTTCGTTGACGTGGTACTGCAGAGCCTGGATCTTGGTCACACCGTCCGCTTCGTCAATCATCGTTGCAATGTCGTTGATATCGTTAGTCTTCTGCTGCTCACCTGCACGCAAAATGTTCTCGAGCCCCTCCAAAGCCACGATCACAACCTTCGCGTCCTTTACCTCCAGCAAATCGCACAAAGGCTTAATGCACCCTAGATAAAACACAACGACCAGCATTAGCAATGCCACGCCACAGGTCGTAAGAAGTAACGCAATCAATGCCATTACACTAACCAAGACTGACAAGATGCATGATCTGTTCCGCCGAGCCACCAGACGTGGCATTCGACACAGCCCATGCAGCTTCCTTGCGGATATCAAACTCAGCCGTGGATAGAAAACCAATCAGGGACGGGAAAATGTCGGAATCCATAATAAACTGGATCTGTTCCCGATTGCCAGCCGTGATGTTAGACAGTGTCCAGCACGCCTCCTTTCGAATGCCCTTCTTGGGACTTTCCAAAAGAGCGCGCAGACACGGTAACGCGTTCAGATTGATAATGACCTGCGTCTGCAGGTCGTCACCAGTCACGATGTTGCCGACCGTTCGCAGGGCAGGCGTCTGCACGGAAGGGGAGTGATGCATCAGTAACTCCACAATTCGCCGACACACACCAGCTTCCACCACAGCCTGAATCTTTTCGTTCGAGCCATCCGAAAGGTACGACAAAGCCCAGCATGCATCCGTCAACACTTCCTCGTCGTGCGTGTAAATGAGCTGGCCCAGAGTTGGGAGCGCGGGCGCCACGAGATCAAACTGTGGCTGAGGCTTGCCTCGGCAAAAGTTGGACAGCGTCCACGTAGCATTACGAAGCATTGTAGGCTTCGAATGCTCTGTCAGTTGATGCATGAGCGGGCGCAACGCACCGCAACGCAGAACCATGTCACGACACTCAATAGAGTCACCGGCAATGTTACCAAGAGCCCACACAGCCTGCTCACGCACATCATCGTTTGTCGACAGCAATAGCTGGCAGAAGATAGGCACCGCTCCGTGATTAATCACAACCTCGGTATCCGCAGAAGTACCCGAAGCAATGTTCGTCAGAGCCCAGGCAGCCTCAAACTGCAACGTGGGAAAGTCCTCCCGGTGAAGTAATTGCACAAAGATTGGAACAACACCCGTGTTAATCACTTCCATGATAGGCGGATTACGCTCTAAAAGACAGTAAAACACACACATTAATCCCTCTAGTTTCTTCCCATCCAATAGTCCCACACGGCGTATTCCAATTGCTTACCAATTGACAACAGTTTACGAAACTTGGTCACCGCATCAAGTTGTACGGCAGCGTCACTCGATCGCACACCTTCCACCATCTGTGGGAGCTCCAACAGCTACATCACACACACAAAAAGTCAATATAAACCCTCCCATACATCATCGTAACAATCCTATACCCGCTGCTGCAGCGTCAACTCTCCAGCAGCGTCTCCTGTAGCCGGTGTTGCTGTCGATTCATTGTCCACAGGTGTCTATACAGTATTTACAATGAAACAGCAATCAGTCTTTCCCCCTGTATTCATTCTCCGCTATTCTACACGTTCTTCAAGACTGTCAAAAGACATCAAAAACTCTTGTTTCGCATAAATCCTTGCAATCTCTGCTGTCTCGTGTCGTACCATACGACGACGCTGGTTCATACGATCCTCTTTGATAGTTTTACGAATTTGCACAGTCGTTTCCATGCGATTACGACGTGATTCATCGGCATCAATTCCCTTTTTGAATAAATTCTTACGCTCTGGTGCTTTTCCTGCAGGGAGTGACATACTTGCTGTTCTCTAATGACCTCTAAAGCACAGACAGAACTGGGGTGGGGGATTGGAACACTGGAATTTCTTTCCTTGTTTTTCCTCGCCAATAAAAACAAATAGTGTAAACCACACAAATCAAAGAAAACAATGCTGTTTACGAGGTTTTAAAAAGAAAAACCTTAAATGAGTGTAGCCATCTTATAGCCAGGAAGCGTAGCCATCGCTGCTGTCGCTATTGCCACTTACTGTCTTCATTCTTGTCACGCAAAACGTAGTGATTTACGTCTCTTATAGTAACGCAATTGCATTTAATTTTTTTCAAAGACAGTATTGGCTAGGATGAAGTATCTTTATAAGAAGAGAGACTACCATTAAGCGATAATATAGTGGCAGATGAAAGCATTCCTACGAGAGCTTGGTATCAACTTACGAGAACTTTCTGTCTTTGTGTATGTATTGACGCTCAACTTAGTTACATCGTAGGTAAAGTCGTTTGCAATCAACGGTGGAGCTTCTAGCAACGATGCAGCTTGAGAGCTTCAACAACATGCGCATATATTATAACCTTGGCTTCAGTATTGACCACGATGCACTGTTTATGTTGCAGCTTGATCACCATACAGTGTGTACTGAACATCACAGTGTGTACTGGACATCACAGTGTGTACTGTACATCACATTCCCATCAAAGTCTCATGTGGAAGCGACCGCTACGTGACGTTGTGATGCGATGCCATGTGAGTAACTTGCGTATATCGAGTGTCATGACACGTCAAGCAGTCGAAGAAATGGCACGAAGATGGCAACTTCCACTCGCATCTGAAGGAACAAAGCTATGGGCCGAGTACATGGCAGGGACGACGATGCTCAGCTCTTTTTTTAAAGGTGAGGAACGTGTCAAGATGATGGTCAAGACGCCTAATATCCAAGAGCTTTACGTGGAGGCAATGGCTGTTGGAGAAGTACGAGGTAAAGCTGTCTACGTGGATCATTCTCTTGCTGGTGCAGTGGAAACTGGAGGATTCATGCACATTTCAAAGATCCTGTACGGAGCAGCAAAGCCATACAATACATCAATTGAAGCTTCTGGAGTGCCTGAACTAGACTGGCAGAGGTTTTTTGACGTCTCAGAGCAGATCCCGACCATTGTACGCATCGATAGCGAAGCCGACCAAGACCATACTCGTAGTTGTGGCCTTATCGTTCAGAAAATGCCCTTAGCAGAAGGACAGGAGCGCCATTACGAGCTCGACGAATTGGCTTTTGATAAGCTACCGTTTGTAGCTACGGAGTTGAAGAAAAGCACAGACTTGCTGGAATATGTAAACGAATTGATACCAGGTGCTGACATTACAGAGAAGAATTGCAAGCGAGTGCCATTGGATTACTTTTGCCGCTGTTCGAAGAGCAACTACGCACAACGTCTTAGGAGTATGGGTACTACTGATCTAAAGCAGATTGCTGCAGACGTAGGAAACGCTGGCGTAGAGCTCACTTGTCATTTCTGTAATGACGCACACCATTTTTCTGCTGTCGATTTGGAAACTCTGATCAAGTAAATCTCAGTAGGATAAAACGAACGAAGTACTTTATCGATACGGTTATAAAAGATGAGTATCACCGAGTCATCTATGTGTTCGTCAGCCGTCCTGACCAAACTCCTGCGTCCACTTCACAAAGCGGTTGAGCTCATCAGGGGCGACAGTTGCTGTTGAATGCTCCAACACGCGTGTGAAATCATTCTAGACATGGAACATGACGCTTAAGTCGAACGAGTTAAAGACAGGAAATAGAAATAAAGCAGTCCTTACCATTGAGATCATCGGTGGCCGCAAGTTTTCATCCGAGAAGCCGCGCTCTGGTAGATCGTATAGCCGCATGCGTAGTGCCCCGCAACGTCGGCACGGGACTTTGCAGTCCGAGCATTTCGTAGGACACGAAGAGAGCTTCATGTGACAGTAAGCGCACGGCGGATCGTCTTCACATGGAGTTAAAAATAAACCATTCCTAGTTGGACGCGCTTTATCATTGCACTGAAAGGCAAGAATAGCAACTTACGTCAAAAACGAAAGCAATAGTAGAGGAAACACCTCCTTCCTTACTGGAGCAAAAAACTGCGCTTGTTGGCACTTTCGAAGCGGCTCCATTAGCGCATCTCGGACAAGCACCGAGATATCTGAACCGGAGCAGCTGTAGTGACAAGAGAACCGAAGTCAAATCGATACTTATCTTCGCCATCAAATCTCAGAATAGTGCTATCGTACCCTTCCGTTTTCTCTGCGATTGCTGTGAAGTTTGCATCGCTCAATTCGTTTGGCGTATCGCCTAGATGAATCCCCAGCATCACCTTCCGTGCATTCACCTCAGGAAGAGGAATGTAAATGCGCTTTTCGAATCTGTAAGTCATGATACATCGTCAGTTATTTGTAGATCGTCTTCCTATACAAACTAGGCACCAACCGTCGTCGCATTGCTGGATCAAGTTCCCACGGTACGTTCGTAGCTCCGAGTACCAGAACGCCATCATGGTTGTTGCCCATGCCTTGCATCTGGACAAGGAATTCGTTTTTGATGCGGCGCGTTGAATCGCTTTCACCCTCAGATCTGTTCGAACACAGCGAGTCGATTTCATCTATAAAAATGATAGCGGGCTTCTTTTCACGCGCCATCTCAAAGAGGTTCTTGACCAATCTAGTAAACAAAATATGACATCGAGTCGGCCATCGGGAGCAACATCACTGAATCCCTAAATGATGGTACGTACTTCTCGCTCTCGCCTTGCCACTTGGACACCAAACTAGACGACGAGACGGAAAAGAACGTGGCGTCTGCTTCCGTCGCGACGGCCTGGGCAAGGTACGACTTACCCGTGCCTGGGGGCTACAAAATACATCAACAGGTAGGTTATACTTGTGAGTATTGGTAGTAATGTCTTCAGACATGTGCTCAACACATACCCCATACAACAGGATACCCTTCCAAGGACGTCGCTTGCCCGTAAAGAGCTGTGGGAATCGCGCTGGCAAGATTACAGCCTCTTTGAGAGCCTCCTTTGCAGCATCCAATCCAGCAACATCGTCCCATTTCACGTTAGGCTTCTCTGTGACAACTGCCGCTGTATACGATTGTCCAGAAACCCATTACTTTAACATAATAGCTACAAAAAACATTATACTTTGCTGCCTACGTACAAGCCAATGCACTGCGCAGTTTCGTTGTTTCTGCGTCCGTCTCATCATCGGTATCTTTCTCTCCTCTATACATACCAAAAATTAGTAAGAGTACGTTTACTTACTAGACACAGAGCAAGTGACTCACTTGTCCATGTCAACTGCAGCTGCCACGGCCTTTGGTGCATTATCCTTCTCCAGCATCCCCCGTAATTGTTCTGCACGTGTCATATAACCCTCTACACGCTTCATAATAATTTCCTTTGACGTCGGGTTTTTCTCATCTGTTCAAATACAAAAATGCAACAATCGCATGAGCTGAAAATCGAAGATATTTGAATGCAAATCGACGTACACTTGACGCCAACCATAAAATGCTCCAATGCTTTTTTATACAAACGAAAAGCCTCCTGATAATTTTTACGATTGTCTTCATCAATCGCCTGCGTTACGATCTCAATTGCCTGCGGAATAAATTTATTCTCCATTGGGGCGGGCACCTCGTCGTATGTGAATCAATAACGCCTTTTATTGTAATAAATTAAATTATAGAAAAAGATATGAAGCGATATTCTATTGGTAGAAAATAGCTTTTAGTTATACCCAACCAGAAGTCGAGTATTTCTCATGATCGTGACGCTGTTTAAGGTACTGAATTAATAGAAGCTGGCTATTATATGCTTCTTGATGGCTGCATACTCGAGTGCAGAAAGTCGTGTGTTAACGTCGAAGTTGTCACTATATCAAGATCTCAAGCCAATCACTCTAGCTTTTACCATCTAGTGACAACACTATTGTCGAGGGTTCCTCGCTATGGCACATTACTTTCATTATCCATTAAAAACAACCTGTTGATAGCGGTCATGACGTCTACTGTAGCATCCGTTTAGCTTCAAGAAGACCACTTTATAGCCTAAGAAACAGGTCGTTGACGGTCTATCCGTACCATTTCTAGCTCGCGTCTTACTCAATCTCTCATCGCGCCATTCCAGACTTCCACGCAATCTCTCCTAAATCACGTCTGACGATGCGAATCCTGCTCTTGCAGCCTACCCGCTAGCTTGAAGGCAGCATCGGTCTTTCGTGTGCTGGTAATGTGGATGGTTGGCCATCTCACCCCAGATACACCATAAATATGAAGTGAAGATGTTGACCTGGTCATCGCAGAGCATCAAGATGAACGAGTCGCGTCGTTTCGAATCAAGTGTTATGATTGGTGGATCAGATGGCTACATGTATCCATCTTAAACCACTGATTGGCTGCAAGAGACTGGAAGTACGCTTGGTGGCTAGAAGCTGTAGACGTGGTTCAGAACCGAACACGCCAAAGACATCATCGGACTCGTTAAATAACATGGTCGACGCGTCTCCAGTGACTAACCGCAAACAGGTGGCCATTCTGGACTTTGGCTCGCAGTATAGTCACCTCATTGCACGCCGTGTACGTGAATTGCACGTGTTTTGCGAGCTCTACTCGTGTCAGGTTAGTGCCAAAGAGTTGCGTCAACATCAGCTCACGGGGATCATCCTGTCGGGCGGTCCGCAATCGGTCTTTGATGCAAGCGCACCCCACGTAGACCAAGAAGTGTGGAAGTTTATTGAGGAGCAGAAGCTACCGGTGCTTGGCATTTGCTACGGGCTGCAGGAATTGGCCTTTACTAATAACGGTCAGGTGGCTCCCTCACAGCACCGCGAGTACGGCAAGGCCATTGTTACCCGCAAGAGCAACGTGGACTGTGGGGGTTTATTCGAAGGCTTGCCGGATGAATTTCAGATGTGGATGAGCCATGGAGACAAACTACTCACCAAGCCCGATGGATTCGTGGACATTGCAACGACCGAGAACTCGGAGCATGCCGCCATCGTCAATGTGGCGCGCAAGTTCTACGGCATCCAGTTCCACCCGGAGGTGACTCACAGCCCTCGCGGCAAGGACATCCTGCGGAACTTTGTGGTCAACATCTGTAACTCGCCCACGGACTGGGACATGCGCAGCATCGCCGACGCCTTTATTGAAGAGGTGCGCGAGACCGTAGGTCCCGATGGTCACGTGATTGGTGCTGTGAGTGGAGGAGTCGACTCGTCGGTCGCTGCTGTGCTGCTGCAGCGCGCTTTAGGCGACCGCTTCCACGCTGTGCTCATTGACAACGGTCTCCTGCGTAAGGATGAGGCTGTTGAAGTTGTCGAACGACTGCAGACCAAGTTGGGAATCAACCTCAAGTGTATTGACGCGTCAGACCGTTTTCTGTCTGCTCTCAAGGGAGTCACGGAGCCCGAAACGAAGCGGAAGACGATTGGCAACCTCTTCATCGATCTGTTCCAGGAGGAGGCTGAACGGATCGGACACCCGGTGGACTTTTTGCTGCAGGGCACGCTGTACCCGGACGTGATTGAGAGCGTCTCGTACAAAGGCCCTTCGGCCACAATCAAGACGCACCACAACGTTGGTGGTCTTCCAGAGAAGATGCACCTGAAGCTTATTGAACCGCTTCGCGAGTTGTTTAAGGATGAGGTCCGTGAGCTCGGTATGGCCCTTGGCATCGATGAGCCCAGCTTGTGGCGACACCCGTTCCCGGGCCCCGGCCTCGCCATTCGTGTGCTTGGTGAGATCACACCCGAGGCGCTGGAAACTCTGCGTCACGCCGACTCAATCTTCATTGAGGAGCTGCGCAACAGCGGCCACTACAAGACAACGGGTCAGGCTTTCTGCGTCCTACTTCCGGTGAAGTCCGTGGGTGTCATGGGCGACGGCCGTACATATGAGAAGGTCGTTGCTATTCGTGCCGTCAGTACGTCAGACTATATGACGGCTGACTGGTACCACATGCCATACGAGGTGCTTGGTCGCATGTCCAACCGTATTATCAACGAGGTGCATGGTGTGAATCGCGTCGTATATGACATCTCATCCAAGCCGCCAGCCACTATTGAATGGGAGTAAGCGACCATAATAGAATCTTTGCTTTGCCATCATTGTCCTTGCATCAGGCATTGCAAAAAAACTAGGATAGATCTGTGGACACATCCGTAACGTTAAGCTAAGGAATGCATCTTGAACAATGATGCGTATAGTGTGATGCAACTCGCTGAGTCCTTTAGCTTTACCATACAATAATTTTTACTAGTGAAAAGGACCAACTTATAATATCGATGCTTAAATCTATTTTTGACAATTCTGACCATTTCCAATATACGTCAAAAACTACAATTATGCATTCCCTCTCAAGAGTGACAGCATCACTAATGCGCTTCATATTCAATCTCCTCACAGCATGTCAAAGGCCAAGCAATTTGTTGAATTCGGGTATAATATATATTCACTAGCATCTAATTCCTCCTTTAACTCGAACTATCCCCTTCTTTCCTGGTATTATTAATTACTGATGGCACCTATTATTATCTACAGCAAGAAGATTATTGCAATTGGGAAGAATTACGAAGCCCATGCGCGTGAAATGGGTGCAGCTTCAGCCCCAAAAGATCCCGTGCTTTTTCTCAAGCCCACCACCAGGTACGACATACGATGCTCTTCACATGTTACTTTGAGTATGGGTCTAATTAGAATTAATAATGTGATGGTGATGGTATTGGGACAGTTACGTGCGTAATGGTGGCAGTGTGTTGCTCCCCCCAGGAATTGGTCAAGTCCATCACGAAGTGGAACTTGGTGTATGTCTTCTATTCTTTTTCGTACTTTACTATGGGGATAAGCAAGTAATGTAAAATATTATGCAGGTGGTAATTGGGAAGACAGGTAAAGATATCGACGAAAATGTCAGCATGGACTACGTCGCCGGCTATGTAAATTTCCCAATTATTACTCTGTGCTTCTTGTGTAACTTGGACTCTTACTTTAGAATCTCATGCTTGGTAGGCGTTGGCAATCGACATGACGGCACGTGATTTACAAACCAAGGCAAAGAAGGCGGGGTTACCGTGGACGCATGCAAAGGGACTCGACACGTTCACGCCAATCAGTGACTTTATCCCCAAGTCAGCGGTGCCATCACCTTACAATCTGAACATTTGGCTGAAGGTGGACGATGAACTGCGTCAAAATGGCAACACTAGCGACATGGTGCACAGCATTCCGTTTCTAATCGCTCACGTAAGCCGAATCATGACGCTGGAAGAAGGTGATCTGCTCATTACCGGCACGCCTGCAGGCGTCGGACCTGTTCCGCCTAACAGCGTAAGTGTACCGCGTCCTTGTATTATACCACGTAGTTCCTGACTTTCTTTATCGTGGTCTCTTTGCTGGCTACAGGTGCTTACAGCAGGCATTACGGGACTTATCGACTTGCGCTTTCCTGTGAAGACGCGTGTGTACAAGGCTTAGACGTACGCTCAGGGGGATGTTGCATCGATGCTTGCAAAATATCGTCATCAAACAGTTGTATTGCGGCTCAACGAGCTCATAGTTTCAAGTCCCAAAATTGCTTTATAAGTGCTGCGGGTGCTTTTGGGCGAAAGTTTTGCGGACATGCCAGCCCGCCACGCCGTTACATCATGTTGTCAAGTTGTGTGCTATTAATTATGCGCAAGATCACACCCTTGACCGATTGTATCCATCCATTGGTAGTGCTCCACCACCCGCTTTTCACTAACCTCTAGCGTCGTGTGTAGCTCTGGCATTCCACACATTAGACAGATATTTATCTTGGTAGTTCCAAAATAAAGAGATCTATTTAAGCACTGCGTTATTTCAATAAGGTAAAAGTTGCATCATTAGATACCGAGAAGGAAGAATTAAGTTGCTGGACTTAATATAGTCTAAACTACATATTGCATTTTACAGCAAATACGGTACTATAATAATAATAATCTGTATCCCAAAGCAAAAAACTAGACGTCATGAAGAAGAAAGTGAGTCAGCGCGTTTGTCTTCTTCTTCTTCATCATTCAAGACGCCGCTTCATCTATTTACTAACTCGATACAAACGTCTTCTCTTTGGTATCTTTTCTATAGGTTTTATTGATGGGTAAATCCGGCTCTGGCAAAACTTCGATGCGTTCCATTATCTTTGCCAATTATTTGGGTACATAGGGAAAATCTTTCTCTTTTGTCTCGGATGGTCACTATACTATGAAACTCATGCTCTTGTTCTTTGTATCACTTTATTATATGATTATTTAGCACGTGATACGATGCGTCTGGGACCTACGTGTACGTGACTATAACCAAAGGGTTTTTATACTCTAAAGAAGAAGATTGATGCTGTTTTGTTGGCTATTGCTGACTGTAGTGGATGTGGAGCACTCACATGTGCGTTTCCTCGGTAATTTGGTCCTGAATCTGTGGGATTGCGGCGGGTACGATCACAAGAAACCTGTCTCTTCAGTTGTTATATGAAGCTGAAGCTGAAAGCTGCTGTGTCTGTGCAGCCAAGATGCTTTTTATGAAAACTATTTCGAGAGTCAGCGTGACCATATTTTCCGTAGTGTGGAGCTGTTAATTTACGTGTTTGACATTGAGAGCCGTGAAATTGACGTACGAAGGAAGACGAGATGAGGGATTGTGTGTTTAGGATGATGCTAATGTTTGGTTTGAGCATTTTACAGAAAGATATGGCTCATTTTGATGGCTGTTTGGAGGCCATTGATCAGAACTCGAGCAATGCAAAGGTGTTTGTGCTGATCCACAAGATGGATCTCGTGCCTGAGGACCAACGTGAGCGTGTAAGTAACCATGTGTGTAGTTTGATAAGGAATGTGGACTAAGACACGCGAACTCGTTGGTGATGTGTGCAGGTCTTTAATCAAAAAAAGGAAACTATCTTGGAGAGGACAGGTCAGCTTCCGACAGTGTGCTTTGGCACGTCCATCTGGGACGAAACGCTGTACCGTGCATGGTCATCTATCGTGTACTCGCTGATCCCGAACATGCAGGACCTAGAGAAGCACCTGAACAACTTCTGCTCTATCTGCAGCGCGGACGAGGTGGTGCTGTTTGAGCGTGCGACGTTCCTTGTGATCTCCCACGCCACGCACACAAACCACCGCGATATCCACCGTTTTGAGAAGATCAGCAACATTATCAAGCAGTTCAAGCTGAGCTGCAGCAAGACACAGGCGCAGTTTCAGGGCATGGAGGTTCGTAATTCAAACTTTACGGCCTTCATTGATTTCTTTACCGCCAATACGTACATCATGATTATCATGTCCGACGACTCGATCCGTAAGTACCCGTTTACTGTCTAGCTTGCTTCAGAGATGACGCGGATACTTATACGATTATCTCTTGTCACTGAGTAGAACCGGCGACGATCCAGCTAAACATTAAAGCAGCCCGCCCCGTGTTTGAGGAGCACGTGCAGCAGACGAGCTAAGCAGCCCATTACTTCGTCTTGTGGCAGCAATACTTGTCAATGCAAAATGCAGCGAGAAAATGCATGTCGTCGGCCTTTGCCCGATCTAATGTGAACAAAGAAGCTTCTAGCGTAAATGCAAAGCTCTTTTATTCCACATCGTCTCTTGAGCATTCGTTGGGATGGAATATTCAATGAAGTTTACTGCGGTGGTGGCGGCGGACTGGATGGTGAGTTGGTCGTAGCTAGCATGTATCCTCTGCGTCTCAAAGCACGTAGCACTACCGGTGTTACAGCAAATGTGAGAGCCCATCGAATGGGTACAAGCACCTTGTAGAGCGTATAGGCAATGAGGACCGATCCTGCTGAGCTGGTGGTTGTTGACGTGGAAATACCGACCGAGTCCAGGACGGCTTTTACATCAACACCACTGGATACTCCCACGTAAATGATGGAAAAGGATAGCAGCGACAATACAATGTGTGTACAGATGCCTACACGTCCGTACTCGATGGCAAACGTCTTGGCTCGTTGACGCCACGATTGTTGTGGCACTTGTTCCATTGGTTGCTGCTTCCACTTCTTCTCTACATCTTCTTCTATCTATTAGCAAAGCACAAGACACAAAAGTCCATCTACAAGGTCAGAACAATCTGCTTGGAACAAACAAAAGAGACTTTCTTCCGACAAGATCATACTTTAATCGGAGTCAAAGACGTCGACGTCGGTTCTTCTTCCGTAAGCGGTACTGTCTCTTTCGAATCCCGTGATGTCCTACCACTTGACCAAAGGCGAAGAACGCCATAGTTAGAGCCATGACGTATAATAAAGAGCGATGATGGGAAGCCAATGAGCCGGCACGGCACAGCAGCAGCAGCAACTTTAGTAGCAGGTCGACACCAAGAAGAAGAGATAGCGATATAGCTGTTACTGGTAGAAACCATAGACGAAAGTGATCGCGCTACAGGATAGCGTCTATGCACGCTAACGTCGATGCCGCGCTGTACCGTACCTGGACATACACAGAAATACCTCATTCCACCGCGTAACATCATCAAATATAGTCGAAAAATGTAAAAATGACATGTCCGTATTGAACTGTCGTGTTTAGTGTGTTTTTACACGAATAATCTAAAGTTATGTAAAGATACATTAAAACCAGGACAGCATTATAGTATAATCAAACAATGCAAAGAATCTACCGGATCTCACATGGATCACTCTCTATCGTCGCATCTACGCAATGGTCACGAGGTGGCATTCCATATGTATTGTGTCGAAGTAAAAGAAACATTACAGGTGGAAATCGAGGTGATTTTTATGTACAGCAGCGATTAAATCACGCAATCCTGGAAGGCTCATCCCACCAACGTCAACAGTCGTCCTTTTGTCCGAATATTCAACTGAATGATCCAATAATGAAACAAAAAGTATCGAAATTAATGCAAAAAGTACTCAAGACAAAGACAAATAATGGTGGTACGTCTTGAGGATTGGAAAAAAGTTTTGAGACAAGGAGATGATGTTGTTCACTAGTTTTTTTTAACTTTTTTTTCCTGTGTCTGTTCTGTGGGTGTAGATTTTGTACCGCAAGTGATGATACAGAGTCTATGTACAACATATCAAGACATGAACATGGAGGAGAAGAAGCACTTTCTGCTTATTGTCGCACGAGACTTGCACATTGATACGGAAGTGGTGGGTTGAGTGATACAAACAGTGAGATGTCACTTTTATTGTTGATGAACTGATGAAATAATGCTTTGATTTGGTCTTATGAAGCAGGTTCAAAAAAGTATCATGCAGTTTGAACAGAATATGACCAACGTGAAGGATACACAAAGTGGAACTATTGACTGGGAACACGAGAATGTGGAGAGATACTTACGGACGTTCCGTAATCTCCGTAATGCACTGTCACCACTTTATGAGGTATGAGAGAGGAACTAGAGAAGCTGTGATAGGTGGGAATTAGTTACAGAGCTGACGGTGTTGGTGCGGACGATGCTATGTAGACCTTCTTTCAGCAGGTCTTGTCGCAACGGAAAAATGGCATGCTGTTCTTGGTACACATGCGGGCGGATCTACTGCAAGTTTTGCGCAAGAGTGCTACACCTTCTGAAATTCCTGCTCTTCGTTCACTTGACGCAAGCTTAAAAGTGAGCTCACAAATGTTGTTGTAGTTTTGAGACTAATCAGTGCTTACCATCTGTTATTCGTTTGTGCATAGCAATTTTTGGCGTCATGGTTTAGCGTTGGTTTTCTGAAGCTGGAGCGTGTGACCTACGAACACTCTTCCGGACAGCTCTTGGAACATATCATCCGGTACGAGGCGGTGCACCCTGTGGGCACGATTTCCGAACTGAAGAGGCGTCTGGGTATGTGTGTACATTCAGTTTGCATGGCGATAGCTCGATATTTGGTGCTCTGACCATAAGCATGTTGTTTTGCTTTTGCTGTCAGGCAAAGGACGACGTTGCTTTGCGTTTTTTCATCCTAGGTAGTTTGCAGCTGGCTGCAATGGAGATGAAGCTTGATCTGACGAGGATGCTTTCCTTCATTGTAGTATTCCGGACGAACCTTTGGTGTTCGTGCATGTAGCATTGATGCAAGAGCTAGCGTCTAGCATGCAAGCTATTCGTGACGAAACAGAGCAATTGGAAGAAGCCTCCCAAGCAAAAGCTGCAATTTTCTACTCCATTTCTTCGACACAAAAAGGTCTTTCGGTATGTGAGGCGTACCGATTCTTCACTTGACTTTTACGTGTTGGCCATCATTCAGCTAAATTATCGTATCTTGTTATTGGCTACAGGGTGTGGACTTGGGCAACTTTCTCATTAAGGAAGTCGCCAAAGCTCTCAAAACAGAGCACCCGCAACTGGAAATGTTTGCGACATTGAGCCCTATGCCTCAATTTATGACATGGCTTGAAACTCAGCGGTATAAGACTGATGCGTCGTTGGTTTCCTCGCTGGAATTGGACGCGCTAATTGACGTACTGGACGACCGTGGAACTACTCCCCAGTCAGATTCCACCGCTGTGTCAATTGTGTTGAACGCACTTTCGATTGAGGGCTGGAGCGAGGATCCGAATCTGGTTGCAGCGCTGAAGCCTATCATGCTGAAGCTTGGCGTTCACTACATTTATTATGAAAAGAAACGTGGAAAGGCGCTTGATCCTGTTGCAAACTTCCACGTCCGAAATGGCGCAATTTTCGAGCGCATTAACTGGCTAGCAGATCCGTCCACGAAGGTACGTGAGCCAATTCTAGATTGTTTAGCGAGTCTTTTCTAACCCATTTGAGAAATTTTTGTGCTTGTAGCAAAGCGCTGGAATGATGATCACCTACAAGTATGATCTCGCGCATGTAGCGACAAATAACGAAAGTTACTTGCTCCACAACATTATTCCAATTGGGCTTCAGCCGCAACAAGTACTCGGAGCTCGCATCATGTAGTGGTGTATTTTAGTTACAGCATAAAAAGATTGATTCAGCTGAAGTTCATTACCGCCAGGTAGCTCTCGGTTTTATCGTTGCGACGGACTGCACATTCATCGTGGTCGTGATGGCACAGACAAGATCGACGTGTAACTGGTATACGAAGTGGGCAAAGGACTTCTATGTTCGGAAAGTTCCTTGACTTGAAATATCGCATTTAACTTCTTCGTTGCAGGGTCTAGGAAATCACAACGAGAATCGCACCACACGGACCATATACCAAATGAACAAGTAAGCGAGTCGTACCAGTTTTTTTTATTTACTTGTTCGTGATACTTCCTCGATATCCAAAGTCTTGTGCAGCTGAGCGACACGTAGGATATGGAGCTCAGCGTTAGTCATGCTTTCAGGCTTCGTGCTTGTAGCTATTTGCTGGTGAGAATCCACTGCTTGCTGGTGTGCTCTCTTGCCGAAAATTTGACTGCCGAGCTAATTATGTTTGCTTGTTTGCTTCATTGACGGTGCTCAAAGCGTCTAGGCGGCATACACAAAGAGGCTGTTGCGAATGGATACAGCGACTTCACCCAATGACGGGTGCCAGCTAGTCTGCAAGATCTTCTTTGAGAAATCCAATGCATCCGGATTGCCCGGAGCAGGCATGGCGGCAATCTGCTGCGCAAGACCACGCTGGGGCATGGAGTGGCGGCGACTCACTCGCGCAGTACGCGGAGTAATGGAAATATCAGCGCGCCCGTAGCGGTCATAAATATGGAACTCGCTGTTGTACGAGCCCGTGATAAAGTTATTACCGTCTCCGCTAATCGCACACTCGAACTTATCGAAGATACAGTCGCTCTCATACAGATCACCTAGCCGTGGACGTAGGTGCTCGTGAATCTGCTCATCACGAGAAGTTAGCAGTTCGTTCCACTCACCTCAAATCTTCCAGTAAGATTAGTACTAAAGCAATAATTTGCTTACATTGATCGTTTGAACTGGACGTGAGTTCATGTTGATGTCCCAGACCTTCAGTGTGAGGAAATCGCGCGCGATAATGTATCGGCCATCGGGAGAAAATTTGATGTCTGAAATGGATGCGATAATCTCAGAAAAGAAGCTTCGTGCTTCAGGGTCTTCTTGCTCTTCGAACACTGTATTTGCATTCAACAAAACCAAACCGATATGTTTCTCAAACTTTCAAAGAACACAACAAAGAGAAACAAGTAACATGGCTCACCTTGAGAGTATGAGTCGCACAATGCAGCCTGCCGCATGTCCCCTAGCTTGATAGCACCACGACTGGTGCTATACATCATCGTGCTGCAGTGTGTTGGATGAAAATCCGCGGCTGTGATGACCTCGGTAAGCTCCTCCATGTTTGCTGGCTTAATGTCCACGATATCTACAAAAAGTGTGTGATTAGAGCTATGTCTACCCTGAAGGCATCGCTACCAAATACTAATCACTCACTGAAACTTTGATTCGAGATGCCAAGGCTCCACAAATTCACACGAAGGTCGTCCGCGGACATGAACGTCTCACCGTCGCTGTTGATAGCAATCGAGTTGATGTGGTACGTGTGCGCATTAGCGTAAATCTTCTTGGCAGTAGATGTCGTTACTTGTCCACGCACATGGGCCTGTGGTAGTCGAATAAGCTCTGGTGTTAATTGTTCTCGTGGAACATGAGCGAGTTCCTGTCCATTGTACGTCGTGACTTCACAGACACTACGCTCGTGCACCTTCCATAGTTTAATGGTCTTGTCATTAGTGGACAATAGACACTGCGACCCGTTGGATGATCGGCACCACTTGATCTGGTTAATCTTTTCTTCAATTTCTAGACTCTTCAGGTAGTCAAATTCAGCATTGTGGCTCTGATACTCCGTGTACAGCTGGTATTGTGGGTCAGTTGTTCCGCTGTACATGTTTTGGTTCTATCATAATCCACCCCATTCCAAAAACACACTTGTTAGATATCGTAAGATTAGGAAACAGCACTGTACGCAGCACTGTACACAACTTACCGATGTTGGGTTTCCATGGCGACAGTAAATGGCGATTCGTCCACCTTTGTTTCCGGTTGCAAGAAAGTCTCCCGACCGATCATATTCAATAGCCGAAATCACCTCAGCTGTGTGAATCATATCATCAACTGTTATCAACCACTTCATCTCCATACACTCAAAAGCAAACCATAGCACAAAGAGAGACAAACCTTCCACAAAGCTTCGCGTGCTATCTCCAGCTGAAAAGACTTGAGCCCATTCCGCTTCAGCTTCACGTATCGGTTCGACCATATCAACTTTCAGTCTGTCATTCGTGTGTTTGAGTCTTGACAATGCCCCTGCACGGCCATCGTCTCGTACGTCTCCTTGTAAAGTGGATTGCGTCATGCAAACGCAAGTAAGAAAAAAGAGAAATTGCAACCCCAGCGAGGAGAGAGAGAGAGAGAGAGAGAGAGAGAGAGAGAGAGAGAGAGAGAGAACGTGACTATTGGCACTGCACGAAGGGCCGCAGCTCGGGAGTTTCAAATTGACAGGAAGCGACCGCTTAATACTGAACAAAAGCCAATGAAATACGTATCTAGCTATAACCTTTAACGAATCCAATACAGTCCTAAAGTAACAGTGTTGATCGCTTCGTCTCTCGCTCGATATCGTTCAATAACTCGCTCTCGATGTGCACGAGGAATGAGGTCTTGACCCATTGCGATCTTCAATACCCCAAATTGTTCCATACTTTATTTTGACCACTTGGAAACGTTTGTAGCCATATTTTACACCAATCATAACCCACGGACGTAAAAATTCGAAGCGATTTTTTTAGAAAAAGCGACTAATTATCGAAACAGGGATGGTAAATGTATCCATGTCAGTAAAAAAAACAGGACAATGTCACTCAAGCGAGTAAAGTGGCTACTCGACCGCGGACGTAGTGGGAATGGCAGGAACGAGTTCGTCTCGTATCTCTAGCACCAAGTCAAACGCTATTGGAAAGCGACAATGTACTGCATCAGATACGTCTTCATCTTCTGATGATCAGGATCTCGTAATTGACGCTCGTTCGCATCGAAAAAAGCGTCACAAAGCAAGTACAATTCTGTCTCAATTTACAAGTCTCGATGCATTATTAAATGACGATTTGGCGGAGAAACGCAAGCGTCAGAACCGTGGACAAAAGCTGCAACAATTGCGGGAAGAGAGTGAAGCTGCAGAAAAAGACGCATCAATTGGAACTTCGTCGTCAATGAAGAAATTGATGACGAAGATGGCGAGCAACATGTCGACACTAGCAGACGATGAGTATTTGTTTACTGCCTCTGTGTCAGTACCAGATGAGAAGTTTGGCTATGTATTTACTCCTATACAAGAGGTGTGAAGTAACTGTAGCTGTAGATTTGAGTGCAGGAGATGGGATATTGACTCAATAACTTGGTGTTGTTTATGTTTGTGATGTAGCCGTTAATGTACCGGACGTACAAAGCAACAGAGATGGAGCTACAGAGTGACCTGAAGCTCATGTATGAGACTATGCAATCTACTGATGATGTAGAGTTGAGTGGACTGCTGTGGTCGAAAGCTATTCTGATTCGCTGCATGCTCAAGCATCAAAATGAATCGACTGGCAGTGGCTCTGCTATGAAATCTTTTAACTTGCCTTCGAAGATTGGGTCATGGCTATTTATGACAAGTAGGTTGCTGTCTTTGATGTCGGATTAGCATATGGTATAGAGGTATGTCATGTGACGAACTGATGAGTGTATGCAGTGTCAACTCACAGCAATAGCCACGTGGTTGGAGGTTGTTATAGCAATCTGTTTTTGATTCAGAGCTCGGTCCAGAAAACGTTTAGCCCAAGATTAAGCTCGGGACTTCCTGTGGCGTGCTTCTCTCACCCGATCGAAGATTATCGCTCAGCGTTTGGCAGTCAGGCCCCTTGTATCGAAACAGAATGGAAACCATCCATTTACGACTTCCTCAACGCCTTTCGCGCCTACGGCTTCCAGGATAGCAAGCGATCCATGAGTGTGAAAAGCAAGATTCCAGTAACACCACCGTCGACAAAGAACGCTCACGTGTTGCCCTTTCCGACCGTTAATATGCACTACATGCTGATGTATTTGGTGCTTTGTTTGCGCACAAAGACGCTGACGTTGGAAGGTTATGACGCGTTTAGCTTTACTATGTTCTTCCTGCGGATGCAGTTTGAGAACGATATACATGCCAGTATTGTAGATATGGCTACCATCTGTATCGAAGAGCTCCTGGACGTGTTTCCACGCGCGGAATGGCGAAGAGAGTGGGCACCGCAGCTTGTTCTACGGATTGCTGGAGCGACTGAAGGCTTGTTTGACTCGGCAGCAGGCTGGCTTGCAGTTGCTCGTCGGCTTCCGCGCACAATGCGTGGCACGCAACTCACCACAGGACTGGCAATCTATGTCTTGCAACACCGTATCGACAAAAAAACAAAAGAGGGGGTACGTCAACCACGTCGTACTCTTGTATCGACCTTACTAATCATGTGCTTTTTTTCGATGTCTAGGCAATTTCTGAGAGGCCTCTAAAGTTTCCGATCCAGAGTGGTCTTGTCGTGGACATTGTAGCTGGCATTGTCGAGGACTTGACACACAAGTACGCGAAGAAACGCAAGACAGGCAAGGCATCGAAAACCGCACCGCCGTTTGATTTATTGTGTAAGAAGGTGGCATTGATGGACCTAGCTCTGCAAGCGTTCCTCAACATCCTTACTCCAAAGGAGATGGAAATTATGCTTAACAAACTGGACCAGCTGGCTGACGCACACAAGTCTACTATGTCAGCAAAATGGCACGAGCTCAAGACACTTGTAAGTCTCATGCATCGCAAGTACTCACTTGAAAACTTGCGCATCGGCCGGAGTTCATCTTCGTGTGCGAAAACTGTGCTGTTTTGTGACGATGACGACGAGTTGCACTCGAGTGAACTGGACAAGCAGATTGACTGTTAATAAGCATTGAGCACAGCACAAGGTCGCAAAAAGCCTTGACGACGGCCATGTATTTGAAAATGGTGGGCATGTTTCGCACGTGGTGCATTATTCACCTATCATTACTGCTGCTCTTGGAGCAGCGCCGCATACTGTTTCTGCAATTTGACTTCAGCCAACTGCTGCGAGTTCACGTCGTTCGCCAGCCGTGTCATGCGGCTCTGCAGAGCCTGGGTCTCGAGACTTGATAAATTCTCAAAGCACGCCTGTTCAATCGCAGCGTTCTGAAGCTCTGACTTGTGCTTGTGCAGTGTTTGCAGGCCCTGCTCCAAGCGGCGGTAAAGTCCACCATTTACGACTCGCACACGTGCATCGAGCTTCTGTGCGCGTTTACTAAGGAGTTGCTCAGTTTCCTTCAGCTCTGCAAAACGAGCTTGCACGGCACGCAACTTGTCTTTAGCTGATGCAGCAAACTGAAAAAAGACGCCGCTTTTTCCGTCACTCTCCGCCTTGCTGAGATAACGCACTTGCACTTCCTTCCACTTCGCACTTAGAATTGAGGCATCTTTGGGCTTCCATACGTCGTTCGCACTACACAGACTGGCTTCAATCTGCACCATTTGCCGCGCGCGTTCAATATCAGTGTCCGAGAATTGTTGTAGATGCGGCATCGCGCCAGTACTCGATGACTTTTTGCGCTTCTTGTTTTTCTTGGACTTACCATCATCCACTGGGTGTTTGGCAAGATCATGTTCTAGCATGCAGTACATTTCGTCGGCAACCTCATTCACTGCACTGTGAATCAACACCTTTTTCACTTTCGAAGGACGAGGAAGACCCTTCTGTACAGCAGCAGACCGCCGCTTGAGTTCACGATCGTGATCAAGCTCGCGCTGTTGTTGCTCGCGAGTTTCTCGCTCTCCAGCATCCTCCTCCTGGAGTGCATTAACACGATCGTCGCCAGCTTCCTCTTTCTCTGGAACGTTAATCTCGTATTCGTTTTGCGGTGCGGGCAAGCTGTCAAAACCTTGACGAAGGCTGCTGACCAATCGCTTTGTCCGAGCCTTTTCGGACCTGGCATTCTCAGCCTCGGTGCCATAAAGCTGCTCCGGGTTGATGCCCAGTTCGTCACGCAAAGGCGTACGCGTAGCAGCCATCGATGTTTTGTCGCTCGCTGCACTAGCGATTGCTGACGAGGGTGTACGTGACGGAGTCGCCCCAGCATAACCCGTTCCCTCGTAAAGCTCGACATTTTCACCACCTAGAAGCGGAGTGGCACTGCTTCGCATGGCTAACAGGTTCGCCGTTTCCTGCATGATATTGTCATGCACATCTCGAATCAACGGCGTAGCCGATGCGTCTCCTCTAACCGAACGCAGCGGGGTGACACTATAGTCACCCATGAGAGCACGCGTCTCAGAGGCCGACCCATTCTCAAGTGCGAGTGCAGCTGCATGGGTTGCATGCATGCCTAGCTTTGCTAGATCGCTCAACTCCTCGTTAGAAACGACCGGAGCAGGCAGGTCCAGCGGAGTGCGCTTGATGACATTAATCGGGTCATTCTTCTCGTTCACCGCAGCGATAATCTGGGGCAAATTCGACTTTACAAGTGATTTCTGTCGTTTTGCATCTTGTTTGCGCTCCTTTTTCTCTTGAATATCACGTCGTACCCCTTCAAGTTTATCCAGTTGCAATGCTGCACGTTTCGGGTCAATTCCTTTGCTCGAGATACGTTTTTCTTCTGCAACATTATAAAACCCCGCTGGAGCTTTCTTTTCAAATGGAATTTCACTTGCATAGTCAATGTATTTGCGTTTTTTCATGTGTCCTGTTGGAGTTGACGACATGATGCCAGCTGCTTTTAATTCCCGTTTTTTTTGTAACGCTGCAAGTCGTCGAGCTTCTTCCAATTGTTTTTCACGAGCTTTTCGTTTTGCTTTTTTCCCCTTGGTATTAGCAAGTCGAGCTCTTGCTTCGGACAACATTTCCTTCTCATCTTCATCCATATCAACTGGATCAGGTCGTGCTGGTTTATTTTCTGGATTCGGATCAATTTCTCCTGGTCGTAACCGTCTTGGATCATCAGTCACTTCCATCCCTTCTTTCTCCTGGGCTGCATCCAATAAACGTTCATAATGTTCCATACATTGAGCCGCTGTACGTCCAACAATTGGAGCAATTGTACGCCATTGAGACGGCATGAGCTTGACTAAATGCAGTAATTTTTCTTCTTCTTGACGATTCCATTCCGTCTTTTTAATACTTGGATCAAGCCATTCATACCAACGTGCTTTGCATTGTTTTGCGGATTTCCGTGATAATAAAGAAGCGACACGTGCCCATTGATTCATCCCGTACTTCATCACAGCTGCTTTCAGGATTTCATCCTCTGTATTCTTCCACACACCGCCCTTGATCATAATCCGCATGGTTCCGAGAGGGAGGACCGACCAATTGTTTCATGTATACGTGGTGTGTCGAGCTTGTACAAATCATGTGGACCACACAACACCGTCGGTGCAAAGAATGTTCGCCGTATGTTTACCGTATTTTAGAAGAAGACAAGAAGTTGGATGTAGTCCACATACATTATGGACGAACGGGGACACGATCTGCAGACGCAGCTGGAGTTGATGGAATGTACTGGACGTGTCGTACACGATTTAGTGGCGAAATTACTAACGACATACAAAGAACAAGAGGAATTTCATACTCTCTTTGCTAACCGTCTCAAAGACATTGCCATCCAACAGAAAGACGCGACGCTCGTGGTGAAATGTTTTGAAGAATTGAGTAAATGTAGTCACCAAATGGCAATGGAATGTCACAATATCATGATTCAACGACCCGAAAGGGAAGTGTTACATGTGTGGAATCAGATTCAGAAGTATGTAATTGTACCAATGAAGGTACGAGGATAAAAAAGAACAAGAACAAGAGGGGGATTTTCTTTGACTCGGGAGATGTTGAATTCATGTAGAAACTACTGGAAGATCGAGAAAAAGCTCTAAAGATTGAGATGCAATTGCAATTGGAGTATGAGGAATTGAAGGTACAGAAGAAGGAAAACATGGAAATAAAGAGGAATCGAGGGATTGATATGACCGTTTTTTTTATGCGGTTTCTAGCAAGGAAGTGCTGCCAAGGAAAAGAAATTGCGCATGTTGTCGGATCAGAAACGTCGTGTGGAAAATGTTAATGCGTTGCTGGAGACACATATGGAACAGTTTGATCATTATCGTACAGAGACACTGAAGGTGTGGTTGTGTAGCGTTGAGATGTTTCGTGGTGTATGGAGAGAGTTGCTAAGTTGTTGCATCTGTTTGTAGAAACTTGTGAGCGAGTTGGCGCGTTCACAGGCTTTTTATCATGCAAAAGGACTGGAACTCTTTGCTGTACCATGTCAAGCTATTGCAGAGATTTGCACTACAAGTGGAAAAGGAACAGCACAAGTTGTTCCTGCTGACGCGACGTAATTGCACGGTTGAAACTCCGCCAGATCATTTCATATATCCCATGTCTGTTTGTTGTACCATGTGAAGCATAACGTCTTTTATTCCGTTCTTTCGAGCTATAATGCATCAGAATTGAGGCGTCTTTGCCGCTCCTTTTTCCGTTTGCTATTTCCAAGTTTAGCCATGCTCTCCTGCAGCTTTCGCCAGAATGAACCCTTCTCGCGTGGTGTGCGTTGTGGACTGTCAGTGCCGATACCAAATTGCTGACGTCGTGAAATTCCAGGTGAAGCCGTCCAACTCTGTGGAGAGTAGCAATAGTCTTCCAATAATTTGTCATTGTAATAGCAACGTTTCTGCGTTGCACAAGTTTAGTCAAGTTAGTAAAGGGCGTGACTAGTTGCTCCAGTAAAACATGTACCAACCTCTTCAAATTTCTCATAAACAAAATGTACAGGCATGTCCAGGTAGTTAGCCAGCCCAAGCTGTAAGCTGTCGGGGTAGCAGACGCAAGAGAAGGTCGTGAGTTAGTCTGCAGCAATGTAGTAACGTCGCCTTGCGCTCGTCTAACACTGTATTGCTGATACCTCATTTGAACTGGCTGAAGAGATATTCGTCGTCGAGAAAACATTGGCGTCGCTTGTGAAACAAATGATATCCCGTGTTCCGACTGGGGCATAGCAAAAGACACACGTGTTCGCGTAACCAACTGCTTACAGTCGAGAGAAGCACATGAGCATTTATGATTGAGCGTACCTGCGGCATATGTGAGAATTTCACCGAGTGCTCATACATGTGTCGATAGACTGCGTCGCCGAGTGATTCCAGCTCACTGTCACGTTCTTTACAGAGATGTATTCTATCGATGAACGATGTCCACTATCGTATACAAAAGAGTCACAAAAAGGGTTGTCAAAACAGTCCAGGCAGTCATAATCAGTAGAAACGTACTTCTGCCAGAGTTTCTTCATCGGTGTATTTGTATATGAAAGGATGCTGAAGCAGTGCATCTGCCGTAGGCCGCTCTTCTGGGTCAAGTGTAAGGCACTTCAAACGCAAGCAGTTAGCAACATACTTGTTCTCGCAAAACGTTTAGCATCACAATATTCACACACCTGATCGACGAACGAGCAACACTCTTCGGAATACATGTCAACAGGCATTTTAAGACATTGCTTATTTGCAACCTGGAATATATGTCAGGCATACGTAACAAGCAAAGCAACAAAAGCAATAGAAAAAACTCTTACGGAGTCGACTAGACCAAAAAACCCATCCTGTGTTGGAAGAGGGTAGCGGCCCAAGGCAACAGATATCATAGCAAGTCCAAAGGACCAAACATCAGCTACAGAAAGAAGATACAGTCAGTTATCACGTTTACTAAGAAGTATTCCTCCATACACGAACACGAATATGAAGAAACTGACTCACCTGGATACGAATAATCGCCACCACCTATTCGTTCAGGGGCCATGTACAGAAGAGTACCCACAAACGTCTTTGTAGTGGTGGAACTATCATTCAAGGTCCGTGCTAAGCCAAAATCCGAAATCTTGACATCCCCTTGTCGATTCGTGAGCAAGTTGTGCGGCTTGATATCGCGATGTACCATTCGTTTGTTGTGGATATGAGATAAGCCGTACAATACACCTGTTGCTAGCCGTGCCAAAACCTTTTCATTTTGGCATCCACCGCGCAAAACAATATCCTGTAGCGATCCCGTACTCATATACTCCATGACCATGCAAATGGAGTTTTTGGGACGATCGACAAATGCGTCATAGAAGGACACAATGTAAGGACTGGGTCTGCACATAACAAGCATTAAGATATAGTTTTGTTCAGCCAGTCGATGATACATCGCCAAAGAACTTTCGTTGTATCCTACGTACTTTGCTGTGGGTTTGCCGGTGCTTCTTCCAGCTGGAGGGTGTTGAGGCATCGGGCTATTATTATCCGCCATCGGCACAAGATTTGAATAAAGCGCATGAAGCTCACGAACCATTTGCCGCCGCTGACCGCGGCCGTAAACGGGTACATCCTTTACCACGTAATGAGACATATTCACCAAAAGTGAGCGAGAAACCATAGATCTGCCCCAGCACTACGTAAATGCTGACCTTGACGGCAACTACTTTTAGTGTTGGTATGTGGATAGCCTTATAAACCACACCAGAAGCCCCACGACCGACCTCTTTTACGCGCTCAAGGTTTTCTTGCAGGTGCAGACATGCAGCGTCAGGTGATGAGATACCTGCCTCTGATACTGCAACGCTTCTGGTGGTAAACATGCCGTGATTAGGAGAATAAGCACTTCCTGTACTATGCCGCTCGTTGTCTACACGATCCAAATCCAAATTATCACATGATCAAACAGAGTTAGTGCCAGCAGCTACTGCCGAAACGATATCTAGCCGCACCGTTTGGAGATTGAAGGCCTGAATCGGATTCTGAACTCAGATTCAATCTCATCATCGCCTGTTGTGCAGCACTAGGACCATTCGCAGGGGTACTTGATCCCGAAGAAGCTGCAGCTGTAATCGCCGCCGCCTCCATTGCATCTCGCTTTGCAATGAGTCGAGTTGCAGCTCGCTGGGCCCTCTCTTCCGCTTGCTGAGGTGTAGGCATATCTTCAAGTTTGAGTCGTAATTGCGGACGCTTGCTAACGTGATTACCGGAGACTCCTTTTTTCACGGGTTTGACAGCTTTCCACAATGGTGCACGACTACGTGGGGTAGCTACTGGAGACGGCGTTCCAACCAATACTGTCCTCTCGGTCATTTGTGGCACCAGTGGTACCTGTGGTTCTTTTTCTTCAAGCGATAAGTGGTCGGTCAATAATTCAATTTCATTGTCCAGCGCCTTTGTGACTAGACATGTATGTGCATCCGTAGATGGCGACAGCATCAAAATAGTCGACTCTTCATCCTTAATAGCTGGCAAACATTGTTCTTCCTCTTGTGTAGGTTGCACTACCACTGAAAGTGTCGCAATCTCTTCCAAAATCGGGTACGTTTTGTCCATCCATAGACACTTCCATGACTTGACTTCTGCAATACGAAGTGCACGTGGACAAATATCTGGAAAGATCCGAGCAATCACTTCATCATCCGCCTACCAAAAAATCCATCAACCACATGATCAATTGAACGAATGCCTTCTTTTCCCCTCTTTTTCTCGTACCTTTTTCATCAAATTAGGAGCTGATTGTGGTCTCTTTAATGTCTTTTTCTGTCTTGAAAACGTCGTAGGATACACCACTTGATCTCTTCCAGAAGTCTCTATAGTGCTTGAAAAAAGGCTATTCAACTCGAAGCATGTCTTATCCTCTGCTCTGTCTCTTTCTTCATGATTCAACCATGCACGTGGCTCGCAATTTGCGCTTTCAACACGTCCACGCTTTCGTAATTTCTCCATAAGTGTCGTCCGTGAGACTTCTTGGCTCGACCCGTCGAGTAAATCACGTCGATGACTTGTAGAAACTATAGAAGAACGATTCGATGAAGATACGGATGCTAGAGACGACGATGTTTCTCGATCAACGACGGCTTTTGACACGTGCCGATGATTCGTCTGGTGCTTCGTCTGTTGCACTGGCATTTCCTCTCTCTATGTGTATGTGGAGCTAACCCTTTCAAAAGTAATAATAAATTCAAGAGGGAAAGGAAGGGAAACATACAGCTAGAGAGCACGTTGTACGATTGATTAAATAGACAGAAAGTATCTTCTTTGATCCGTACACGTTTTTGATCGTACAGATTGTTAGGTTCCTTTTTTCTACCAATCAGAAAGCTCAGTAATTCAAATGCCTCGTCGTAACGTGGTCGTGCTGGGTGGTGGGATCTCTGGTCTAAGTCTCGCCTATTTCTTACGTCATACACTTCCTCAGACGATCGCGACGACTACACGTATTCATATACTCGATGCTGATTCAATTGCAGGTGGATGGGTACGTACAGCCAAGCGTCATAAATTTTTATTTGAAGAAGGACCACGAGGTTTTCGACCATCTCGTAATGGCGCCGAGATGCTGCGATTGGTGGAACAACTTCAACTTGAAGACAAAATGCAAGCGGTGGATCCAGCAGCTCATGCTCGTTATATTTTACGTAATCGAAAGGTGGAGAAGCTGCCAAGTTCAATGCTAGAAGCTCTACGATGGCCATTATCGCTTCCAGTGGCACGTGCAGCGCTTCATGAGCTCTTTGTAAAGCCAGGAACAGAACAGGATGAGTCCGTGTACAAGTTTATAGCGAGAAGATTTAGTCCCTTGGTAGCTGAGAGACTCTTGGATCCTGTAGCTTCGGGGATCTTTGGGGGAGACATTACGAAACTCTCAATGCGTTCGTGTTTTCCAATGTTCATGGACTTGGAGAGAGAGTATGGATCAGTTGTAAAGGGAATGCTGCTTGGAGGTGCTAAAGGAAGTGAGACACTGCTGGATGGTACGAAAAAATCGGAGTTTGTCAAGAAACACGAAAAGTCCGTGAGTGTGAGCTTTACTGATGGCATGAGCACGCTGATAGAGGCTCTCGTAAACGATATTCACGCCAATCCGATGGCAGAACTTCAGTTAAACACGAAAGTGACGAGATTGGGAGTTCATGGACAAAACAATACGTTGTCTAAAGGACTGCGTTTTGTGGTGGAAAGCAAAGACCCTCAGTCCGGAGAAGTTCGAGAGCCTATTAAAGCCTCACATGTATTTTCAACTATCCCGGCATGCTATCTGGCTCCTGTGGTGAAGGATTCGGCGCCTGATTTAGCTGAGGCACTCAATGAAATTAAGTTTGTTGACATGGGGGTAGTGCACGTTGGGTACCATGAGAAGGTGCTGTCTACCGACGGTTTCGGGTACCTCATTCCCTCTGCAGAACGTGAGAAGGTGCTTGGCGTGGTGTTTGACTCCAACACTTTCCCCATGCAGAACGGTGAGGACAAAATGCAGACGCGTCTGAGTGTCATGAGTGGTGGTGCCCACTTTCGAGAGGTGGCGTCACTGCCAGAAGGAGAACTGGAGCGAAATGCTTTAGATGCCTTGAAGCGACACCTCGGTATCACGCGCAAGCCTGACTACGTGCGTGCCATGGCACTGACGAATGGAATTCCGCAATACAACGTCGGGTTTAGTCAGACACTGCAGCGTATTGAGAAGCAGGCTGCACGCGGTACACCAGGTTTATTCATGGGCGGCAACAGCTTCTATGGCATTGGGCTGGCTGACTGCGTGACCAACTCCAAACTTCTTGCGCTCAAGTTTGCCAAGAGTGTCGTCTCAAGTGGCTAGAACAGTGCATGTGCACAGTTTGGCGTCTGTGAAGTGTTTGCGCAGTGAGTGTACCTCGTTGAGGCACGATCTGGTGCTACGGTGAAAACAAGCATGTTGCTGTCCTGTGGCCCTGGAAACGCATAGTTGCACCTCCTGTCCTTTGTAGATACGCTATTACACGGTCTCAAATGCAATTGCCTCGTTCCGTATCAATCGTCTGTAAAAGCTTCGAGTACAAGCAGCATTGTCAAGCACCAGAATCCAGCTGAGGGTTGTCAACTCGTTCACTTCACGCATATGATGCGGACTTTAATCTAGGAAAATCGCCAGTACACGGAGGAGCTGGATGTTTCAAGTAAAGATCAACGTACTTCATTGCGCTCGCCACAAACGCTTCCCTCTAGTTCTCATCGTTTGTAAGTACCCTCCAGGATAGCTGTGGTGAAGCGTATCAAGGGTTGACATCATGTCCTTCTTATGTTGTACGCGTCCTTGTTGCACGACACAATTTTGCTGCAGAGGTCACAGCATTTTGATTCGATGACCATTATTAGGCAGGGACCTGTATGACCTGGTCAATCACTCCAGCAAGATAAGCATACCTCAGCATCAACGTTAGTTCTCGTGTAACACTTACCAGTTCGTCTGCAGTTTAAAGTCGCCGTATCTGATTGTCAATCTCGGGAGCGGAGCATTTTCACCACCTATAACTTCGCCGCCGCCTTCTCAGGCGCGTGTATCTCCTGTTCACAGCACCCATTTTCCCAAAGTATAGTTGACAGAGCATCCATACTTTCGATCCGCTTTCATCGCATGATTGTCGCTGGTGACTCTGCCACTGCTCCTCTCTAACCAGTTTGTCTCCAGTTGGTACACCAAGAATATTACACACAACAAACATCACGACCGTCGAAAGATAGCTCCTACAGCGTCATCACAATGAGGTACAAAGATCTATTACCGTCAAAAGGCTTGGAATGGATCCGCTACTATTGGTCTGGCCAAAAGCGCGAGCTTCACTGAGTCATGTCGTAGCTGACTCTGTGGTTGCAGCTGCAATGTTATATCTGTTGGGCTTGTCGAGTACTTTTGAGCTCGGCTTGGAGGTGACGACAAAGACTCTCTAGCTTTTTAACCTTTTCCTGCAGCATCATTGTCTCCTCGATAGATGTCACCTTTCCCTGAATTGAGGCAATCGCACCACTGTCATACTCCGCACACTTCTTCTTTAGCGCAAGGTTTTCCTTCTCCAGCTTCTTGGTTGTTTTAGCCATCTTGTCCATTTCTTCACGAAAGGTAGTAAACATCTGATTGCTCTTCGTCAGTGTTTCCTGCACCACGTCAAACTTTTCGGAGTACGAATCGAGCTGCGCTTGCAACTGAACCTCGCGGGCGGAAAACGCCTTGGACCTGTCTAATGTGAGTTTCACCTTCTCCGCCTCTCGCGACGTTAGTACTACCTGATGTCGCAATTTCGTTTCGACAAGCTGAACAGTTAAATCCTTAGCCTCTAGCTGCCGCTGAAAATGCTCTTCGCGCGCTGTGTATTGTTCGAGAAATTTCCTGAGCTTCTGTTGAAGACTGGGGAGACAAGAACGTATTTTTACATTTTTCAGGTTGTGGAAGCGTTGACACTGCATAAGTGCGTGCACAAACGTACTTTTCATTCTCTTTCAACGACGCCACGTAGTCTTGGCCCTGTTTGTCCATCTTGGCACTCACTTCTTCAATCGTCTTTTGGAATTGGGCTGACAAGTCGCGTCTAAGCATCAAATAGTGATTAACTAGTAGTACGAGACCTGAAATACACCTATACACATGCAAACCTCTTCTGGTCTTCCTCGTCAGCAATACGACGGCTTTCACTCTGAATATGTTCAATAAAAAGCATCAAAATGTCAACAATCTCAATTAACGCCATCATATTGTTACAACCCATTCACGTACCACAATGAGCTTGTTCTGCTTTTGCAGCTCCCGACAGAGTTGCTCCAATTTGGTTTTAGAAGTGGTCGTCTTAACCAGCTCCGTGCTCACTGCACACACTCAACTTTTCAGCAAAAAAGACATGACCATCTGCAATGTACTAGACAGGAAAACGCACCTGTACCCTTGCGTTGCTTCAGCAAGATACACTTGGCATTGAGTTCACTAATTTTCTTTTGCATCAGTTCCAGTTGTTGACTCTACAAGTACCTCATAAATAAGTATCTCTTTATCCAACCAGCTCTCTTGTAACTATCTCCATACCGCATGAATGAGGCTGCTGACAAGTTCCACGACCTTTTCCTCAGCTGTCATCTCGTCCATTTTCTTGACATTTTCTGCCTTTTCCTTCAATTGAATTGGCAGTGTCTTATCCAGATAAATGGCTACAATTGCATTAGTTTTTTTACCCAATTCCCAGCACTTTAACAGATCCAATGGCTACCCACCCGAAAGGTCATCAACGTTTTCATCTCCACCCACTTCAATTTCTGCAATTTTTCCAGCTAAAAGCTCTCTCAGTGCGTCTTCTCGAGTGGTTTTCGTGTTGCGCTTGTGATGACGTCCAGGAGACGCTGCAATTGGGGATCGTTTGAGCTCAGCATTGCTTTTACTCGAGCTGATAGCGTCACTTTTATTTCCACGTTGTTGCTGTTGGATACATTTACTTTTATGCTTATGCTTAAGGCTCTTGGTCTCTCGATTCAACGGCTTTAGCTCGAGACTTGGAGACTCGTCCGTCATTTTTAATTGATTTCGTAGCCATTAGATAAAAAAGAATTAGATTTTACAAATATAGACACGAATTGTTTTATTTTTTTACCCAGTATACTCAGTATACACAGTTGATGAAATTGCTTTGGTGCAACATCCTGCAACAACGCATCGGTGTAGGATATATATCATTAATTACGCCTACAAAACTCTAAATTTTAATACAATACAACGTTGCACATAAATTAAACACTTGCGCCAGTTATAGCCTACCCCTTAGTCGCCTTCGGACAAGCGGTATACAATGAGAAAGATACAAAAACGACCCAAAACCTGTTTAACTTAAATACGTGTTTATATCATAAGATACAGGTCTCCATTTTCATCCGCCGTCGGAGAAGGCAGAAAAAAAAATGCATGCATGTGCACGTATAGAAAGAGTACTGACAGCATTATCTCGAAGCTACAACATCTCATTCACTTCCCACATCTGATAACGCATTTTCTAAGCAGCTTTTGAACAAGAGGATGGACGCTGTCGATGAATTTAAACTGATTGCGGCGCTCTTCATCTTGGTGCTGGCGCTCTTGGGTGGCATGGCGCCGTTATTGAGCAGTCAACGCGTCAGCAAACGCGTTACTAGCGTGCTCAATATGGTGGCGGCTGGTATCTTTCTTGCTAGCTCATGTATGCATCTTCTGCCGGATGCACAGAACAATGCGGCGCTTACAGAGTGGGGTTGTGAACATACCGCTGAAGTTTTTCTTGCCGTGAGAACACGCTACAATGGCGACAGGAAGCGCTGCTTTAGATGGGCCAACTTCTTTTATGGCTGTGGCTTCCTTCTGGTACTGCTTCTCGAGGTCATGGCGCACACATTGCAACGGTATTACAGCAAAGTAAATGGCCGTGCTCATGGTGCAGAGCACGAGCGGGACGCACTACTGACTGTCACGAACCCCAGTGTTGCTAGAGTGGAGAACCTGAACAAGAACGCTGGACACGCTCATGCTCGCGCTCATGACCACTCGTACGATTTGATCGAGACTGGAGACTATGGTAGTCAAGGAGAGAGCGTTGGACTCCTAGTCCACGCTGAAGACGGCAAGGATGAGCCACACTCGCACATTCATGGCATCGTAAAGGGCAACTCCATTTTGGCGCTCGTAGTCTTCGTCGCATTGTCGTTCCACTCTGTGATGGAAGGCATGGGCATGGGAGCCTCAAGCACCCCGGCTTGGGATATTCTAGTCGCTATCTTGGCACACAAGTCACTGGCAGCATTCGCGCTGGCGCTCGAGTTCCTGCACCACAACGTGTCACAGAAGCAACTTTTGTCCTCCATAGTAGTTTTCTCAATCATGACGCCCATGGGGATCTTGTTGGGTCGGCTGCTCGTCGATTCCAACCGTGCGACACCTGCAGCTGGTGTGTGTGCTGCGTTTGCCGGTGGCACTTTCCTGTTTGTTGCTATCATGGAGATCATCCCGCAAGAGCTGCAGGATCCACGGTACCAAGTCGAAAAGTGTTCTGCTCTGCTTGCTGGATACGGTGCCATGGGTGTGCTTTCACTCTGGACGTAAAACAACCGTTGACTTATGTATTTCTTGAAGAGACAAATAGTTTAGTATGTTGTAAGGCATTTGAAAGCGTCATGAGCATCAACTGCCAATTCAAATAACGTTCGCATCGATGTGAAGGAGAGAAAAAGCTTACTCAAGTAGCTACTTCTTTGCTCAAAAAAAGCATTCGAAAACACTATTCTCTCCAGCTTCATGTGCCTGTGGAGGTGTAACGTTAGCATATCAGTACACTATTGATCACAATTTCATTCTACAGTCAACGTCGTAATCAGAAGAAAAAAAGACACGCAGTCGTTCTGGTATCTCTTGAGCTTACATTCCTTCTCTCTCTCTCTCTCTCTCTCTCTCTCTTATCTGCCGTACTTTTGGAACTCCCACTCACGGTTGTCCAATGGACACACTTGACGGGTCTTGAGCCATCTTGAAATGCAGTGAAAGTGGAAAGCGTGGTCTGTCATAATCAATAATAAAATCAAATAAATGTAAATACGTTTAAACACAATACGAGCCCCAACGCCAGCCAACGTACTGCAGACACCCCATGCCACTGTACATTCCTCACTGGTGGCTGATGCTTGATTAGCCTGGCACTCAATGCACAAGTCCATGATGTGGTTACGACAGATGGCGCAATTATCCACTACAATATCTATAAGTACAGCAAGAAACAACAGAATTTTATTTTATTTTACTGCAAAGATCTTAATGATTAAATCATTTAAACCACGGTAAGAAAACAAACAAACAAACAAACCCCAAGACCAAAGAGCCACAGCATTCCACTTTTTAATTTCAAAACGCTTTTCCTCGCTTGATGTCGCGGGAGGCACCACCTCGGTCTTCATCTCCTCGTCCATAGCGTCAGCGTGTTAACTGATGCAAATCGTTTTTTCTCCTAAATGAGAAAAATTAAATCAATCTACTTGTGTTTAGGATACGAATGGTACATGGTACCAGTGTCAATTTGTCATGTTGTTATTGATTATAAACCTTGTTGTGCTGCATTTATGCAATTATAATCATAAAAACAACCAAATTTACTGTTAAAACTGTTCTATTGTTGTCAGCAGGGACAATAATCACTTGTTAAAACAGTCGTGGTCTTATCTCGATATTATGCTGAAACCCAGAAACTTGTTACGTTTCTATGAGCTGCACTTTCATGCTCAACCTGTTCCTATCACTACCTCATCACTGCTTATTGCATCAATTGCAAGCACCTTATCTGTCCATTAATTAGTTCAGCAGCGACGGATCATCAACACATTGGTCCTTGGACTAGCGCCTGCCTCGCTTAGTAGACGAACCTGACTCGGACGTACGCAGCTGGGCGTCCTGGTGACCTGGCGACTTCTTGCCACTGTGTTGCGTTCTTTTCCGCTGGATAAACTCAGTGGCAAACGCCGACACACGAGGAGTTGAGCCCAAATACGCCGCAAGATACTCGCGAATTTCGCCTGGATCCTCCACTGACGCACAGTATTCCAGCAATGTCACATTGGCGTTGCTGTCAATAGTCTTCAGCTGCTTCACAGCCCACCCCATAAACTCTGACGAAATCTTGCTGGATCCAAATGCATTTGAACTGTCCACTTGAGCACCGTTCGATGCAAACTCTTTACCAGCCGACGGAGCAGCTCCAAAGTTCCAAAACGACGCATCTCTCTCGGTCTGTAGAGATGATGGCTTGGGTGTGCCATTAGTAGCACGGATTTGCTGGCGGCTTTTTAGTACAGATGCAGGTACAGGACCCAACACTGATCGAGATGGCTTGGGGATTGCTGCAGCAGCGACCTTGTTGCCGGCCACGATATTCATCCAGTGCGAGCTAGTCGGCGCATTCTCGTTGGCTCGAGCTCGTTCTTGCGCCAAACGCTCTTCTTCAGCCAAGATATCACGCATCGACTTTGAAGTGTTGCTCTTTGTGACAGTAGCAGGTGTACCCCACGGACTTGCTACAGACGTATGAGGATGTGATGTGGGTGCAGGCGTTGGCTTTGGCGTCAGCTTAGAAACCGGAGCTGGTGGCGCAGACACCGGAGCGGTGTTCGCTGTCACGGCCACTGAATCTACACCTAGCATCATCTTTAACTGAGCCCCCATCTGTGCGAGGTTCGCAGTGTTACCCTTATTGTCGCTCATTTTGTTGAGCAATTCACGCTGCTCTTCCTGCTGAATGTCCTTAAGCGACTTTGACTTCGTCGACGCTGTGGCAGAAGCCGATTTGGTAGCCCACGCGTGAGTCTCGCTCTTGCTTTTTTCAACTTGATTTCCATTCTTCCTAAGTAGGCTCGGGTTCTTCTTCTCATTGTCTTCAATAGGCTTTGTATCCTTCTTCGAGTACTTGGCAGGTGATACGTTCGTGGGCTTTTCGGGTTGTGTCATAACCTGGTCGTCATTTTTGCGAGCTTCAAGTACAGCACAGCCCTTTTCGTTATTCTGGATATCGTGAAGATTTGTTGACGGACGCTCCGGTACGTTTGGTCTAACGCCCCATGCATCAGGCACGGCAGCAGATACTGGACTCTTCGGTGCAGGATGCTGAGAAAATTCCGGTGCCATTGAGCTTGTAGGCTGTGCTGCCTGCAAGTCACCTAGCGAGCTAGTGACGTTTTCTAAACCTATCATATCCGGGGCAGTATTTGGCCAAAAAGCTTGACCATGACTCTGAACTTCATCCTTCAAGAACATCGTGCCTTGGGCGAGGGGTTGAGTATTCTGCATGTTCATTTGGTGTTGTGTGTGGTACTCGGAACGGAATTGAGTCTGCATGCCATCGATCATGAAATTGTCATTGGGTGCGACGTTGTCTTGGTTTCTGCCAAACATGCCCAGCGCACTCATAATACCTTCACGCTGGCTATGTTGCCACGAGCTTTGTTGTTGCAGGAGAATTTGCTGCTGCTGCTGTTGTTGCTGCTGTTGCTGCCGTTGCTGCTCTTGTTGATGGTGCAGCATTTGTTGCTGCTGGAACAACTGTGTTTGCTGCTGTTGACGTGCAACTTCAAGACGTTGCATCTCCAGGCGAACTTTCTCTTCTTGGTTCAGCTGAAGCATTCGTTGTTGCTGTTGCTGCTGGAGCTGCATCATTTCTTGTTGTTGCTGACGCTGCTGCTCGTGCTGCAGCTCCAACAAACGCTGCTGCTCACCTTGGCGGGGATCCACATGCATTCCTTCACCCACGTGTGTCGCCGGAGCAGCGAACGGTATTTGCCCGTGAACGAACTGATTCGCCAGAGCTGTAAAAACACCTTCTCGACCAAAGCGAATCGGGAGGTGCGGCTTAAAGTAACCTGCCTCAAACCACTCACGCATCTCAGCAGTCTTGAACGGTCCCTGCTGTAATCCCTGTGGGTCCAGGTAAAACCATTCGTCCTCTACCTCCAAGCGCAACGAGGATAACCGGGCGAGACCTTCATCAGCTGGCATGTGAGACAGCGAAAAGCTACTTTTCTCTTCAAGCACGAGCTTTTCGTCAGCAGGTGCGAGTGTTTCAAACACGTGACTTTCGCCTGACTGACGTCTCAATAAATTCGCGGTGTCATCTTCCAACGGTATGCTAGCACTAGCACCATTATCATTATGCTGAACCTGGGAGGACGGGTCATCCCACGGCGCGTCCTCATTGTCACTGTCGTCAAATTGTCCAGCAGCTGCAGCATCCTCAAGTTTCTTGTCAAACGCATCCAAATCGTCTTTAATCTCGTCCTATCAAAACATTTACCCAGATCAGTTGCCTCACATTACGTAAGTATCTGCTATGACTCAAGACTTACCGGGTCAATCTTTGGTCCCTGCAGCTCATCTCGCATTGCATCCATCTCTCGTCGGAATTTTTCTGCTGCTTCTGACATACTTGACAAGTCCTACAATTAACAAAACCACAGCAAGAAAACGTTAGTCACCACCACTAACAACTACCTGCTGCATCAAGACACGCACCATTTCATTACTATCCACTCCTGCTTCCAACACATCATCCCAGACATCGTCGCCACGAGATCCTTCCGTGACTTTCACACCACGTTCCCATCTATCAGCGTGTCGATGATGTTCATCTCTCTGCTGCTGCTTTGCAGCCCCTTCACTTTCTTCTCCACGTTGATATCCACGTGTCCCTTGAACTCCTCCAGGAGGTGCATTCCCTCGTCCACGACCACGTCCACGATTACGATTCAATGACCATTGCTTGTAAATCTCGTCATAATCAAACGGTAGTGTGCTAACCGGTGGTAGACTATGCTCCGATGCAACCGTTGTCTCCGGTGGGAACGTTGGCACCTCTTTCGTTATCACATGCAATGCCAAGAGCTCTTCTTTACTATAACGAAGTACTTTATTCTTACGTCGATCACCTCGTGGATCGTCGCCAGTTCCTACGGCCGCGTCTTTAATGGACGCCAACCCGTTGCTTAATGAAGAAGACGACGACGATACAAACCCTTCACCGTCTTTTGACCATTGTGGACGATAAGCTGATCCTTCCGAGTCAGTCCGTCCTCGTCCCTTCATAGCAAACATTGTACGTGGTCGTAACGAAATATTGTTGCTACTGCTGCTGCTTGTACTGCTATTGCTAGTGGTAATAGGAGCTTCCTCATTGCTACTAGATGATCCAATGGGTGGTTTCTTTGTTACAAGAGACACGGGTGGTTGTTTCTTACGATGTTTCGTTGTCTTGGTAACAAACGCATCGTCATTCCTGGGACTGCTGCTCATGGGGTTTTTCTTTTTCGTGGTTGGTCGTCTTTTTCGGTTATACGTACGGTAAGGGGGAGACGTGGATGTCTACTAAGTACGAAATCTTAGTGATAGGTTTTTTTTTTAGAATAATATTTTTTTTCTTAGAAAATTAAAATTAATGAGTGGGATTGGAGTCCGGAATTGGCGGTACGTGACGAGTCTTTTTTGGCAATCGTTGTGATTGTTGATGCTAATTTTAGTGCTGCTATTGATGTATGAATGCTGTTATTTATATGCGTGTTGTTTGTGTTTGTGCTATCGATTGCAGTGGTGAAATTATCGAGCCGAACGTCGCTGTGTCGGAGGATGCAGTGGATTGCTGTTTGAATACAATGACAATTGACTCTGAGTCTGCTATTAGTACTGCATTGAAGACATCATCACGTGGTATGGAAAATGAAGAGAAAAGTGTTGTGGAGTTGATGGAAGAACGACGTTCAGTGGAGAAGAAGGTGTTTCAAAAGGACGAATTCGGTCGAGACGTTGAAGTGAAGCGACACAAGAGATTGAAACGTGAAAAAGGCCAAGACAAGAAGAAGGAACGGAAACATAAACATACACACAAGAAACATAAGCATCAACGGGACAAAAGCAGCAGCAGAGTGAGGACCTTAAGTCCTCAAGGCCGCCTCGTTGGCACTCCACCGCCGCCAGACCCATTTCGTCCACAAGTATGGACGATAGACTTGATGTGATGCCATTTTGTTACTGCAGAGACTGACTACCATATTATCACTATGTCTTGCTGCCAGCTGGACGAAGGACGGACCAATCGCCCAAAGCGGCAACATGACAGGAATCGAAGTCGAAGCAGAAGTCGAAGCAGAAGTCGAAGCAAAAGCTATTCGTACCGTCATAAGGAACATCGAAGCCGTGAAAAAGCAAATCCTCGCCGTGGTAGTCGCGATTCCTCCTGGCATCGTAGCAGAAGTCGAGGCAGAAAGCGAAGTCGAAGTCCACCATCTTCGAGATCACACCGTCGACGCTCATCGGCCTCAGTGGAGCGAAAGTGGACTCATAGTGCTTTTAACGACCGTAGTCGTAGTCCACCGCGAGAGCCTGATCCGTTGTATCGACCCGAGCCGGAGGCTTGGGTATCGCGAGCGGGAGGTGTCTACTTGCCGCGCAAGAACTAAAAAAAATCTCCGAAGTCGTAGCGCGCCGTGTCGCTCACCAGAAGTTGGTTACAGCAACACAAACAAGCCAAATGAGCACGCTCCTTCGTGATTGGGATGAAAAGCAGTGCTGAGACAGCTATTGGGACTCTGTTCCCTGTTTCAATCCACCCAGACCATATTTTCTGAGGGTGTGGCAACTGCAAGTGCAAAACTAGAAAAGTTGAGACGAATTTGGAAGGCGTAGCGCGAACATCCAGCTACAAAAACAATTTTGTGGAATGTTGTTACGCCTCAGTTGCAGTTACAAGCAACAGCAACAAGCCTCAGGACTAGCAATCTATGTGACAATTGATACTACGAGGCGGCTATAGCAACGAACACAGCAATCCCTTTTTTCTTTATGAGTCTAGCTCTCCTCTGGTGTATAGTTTTCCTCAAGAAAGTGCGAGAGCGTCTGGAGCTGCTCCGACACAATTTTGACTTTTTCACGACAGATTTCCATATCTTTCTCAGCGCCGTATGTGCTTCGTTTAAAGGTACGATAGTCCGAGACGAGATGAATATGGTTGGCCAATTCCGTGTGGATTTCTTTAACCAGCTGCAAGAACTTGGTACACGCCAGATTAAAAGCGAGCGACGAACTTTCCTCGGACGATACACGTGGAGCCATCAAGGACATGGCAGTGGCCGCCGTCCGTAATGCTGTCACCAATTTCTAACGATTCAGCCGAAAGATCAATAACAAATGGTCAAATTCAGCAGGAGATTGCAGGTTTGCATGAAGATTTATCATGTAATTGTAATACGCACCTGTTCAACGGCATCAAGAGCTTGTAGCACCGCAACGTGTCGTGAACTGGACCATGGATCGTTCGTCTCCGAGAAATGCACGCGACTGTCACTTTCGCTCTCCATGTATGTTTTTATAATGATGGGTACAATCCGATCAATCGATTTGGACAGGGGATATGAAATTGATCCCTTAATAGTAGATATGGCTGCAGACATCGAGTTCGACAGTATTACGACAATGCTGCTACCAACCATCATGGAGCAGTCAGTCGTCTCCTCCATGTGTATTATAACCTGTATCCACCATCTGTTGATTGTTCAGGTACCATCTGGTACAATACCTTCACCAAATACCATGCTATCGTCTCAATAGAGTCGACAAGTCTTTCAGTACCAAGTGACAATACATGTATACAGCCAATTAACTACATGTGGTCGACTACCACTTTTGACTACGAGTAGCTCAACGACTTGTTGTTGTTTGCTCTCAGATTTCGATGTGTCGATTTGCGATTGCAGATGAGATGTAGCATATTTGTACAGCACGACATCAGACATGAAAAGGCGCAAAGCTTAGAGCATCGTAGAGTAACTACTTGAACAATTAGAAAAAAAGTCATTTGTTGAAGCCATTATGTTCATATGCGGTAAACTACGGCCCTATCCGCTGTCAATCCGTTTCTCGTGATTGCCATTCTTGTTCTTTCTCCACATGGACATGACATCCACAGCGGAACTTCGAGCACAGAATGAGCAACTCATGCAAGAGATTGACGCACTGCTTCGTGCCAATATGACGCTTGACAAGGAGGTTAAAGAGCTTACATCCGAGTGCGACGAATTGCGATTGACAGGCAGCAACAAGGTGCAGACGCTGGAACAGGAGCTCGAGACGGTAGACAAGGAACTCACGTCACTGCGCTCGCAGTGTCAGTCGATAATCGAGGTCGTCAAGAACGCAGACATTGAGAACAAGGTCGAAGTCGAGGAAGACCCGACGCCAGTGTCAGTCAGACGCAAACTGTCTTCGGTCATGAGCCAGACGTTACAACGTGCCAAGGGCGTGTCGATGCCAGAACATCGACGGGCATCGACAGTAGAGATGGTCGCTCACGGTCTCATTGCTAAAGCAGCGAGTTATGCGGCCCTGCCAACAGAAAAGCCGGGTCCCGACGTCAAGATGAACAAGGACAGCCCTGCCATCTTGTCGTACGCGAAGAGCACGTCTGGTGCCACGAAGAGTCTGCTGTTCAAAACACACTCACATTACGACAATTTTCGACGGCGTAGCCCCTGTCGTAAAAATCGTGACTCTGTCATGGTGCTCTAAGGAGTTGTGCGTTTTGCCACATCACTAGGAACCGTCGAGAAAACTTCTTCACTATTTAAAGCCATTCAGCTTCGTCCATCGCGTCTAGTGTCGATGAGGCCCAGAGAGACCAAACACAGGTCATTAATCACCGCTTTTCCAACGGGCAGAAAAGCACTGGAGGAGTGTAGTTATCAGTACGTAGTTATGTTACGTCTAATCAGTTGCAGCACCAGCGTGTCCTTACAGTTGCTGCAGTTTTACCAAGCGCGTTGATTCGGATGACTGACTGCCTGCCGCATAGTTTGATATGTTTATTATGAAAGCACTACTTTTAGAGGAGGGAATAAACAAGCAGTTCGAAGCGCCTGGACGACGTCACGCTAGCTCTGTGGGGTTTCGTACTATCGCTATGGCATCTCTTCGTCTACTTATTCCGTGTTAGCCGACTTCTGACGCGCCAGCTTTTGTGCCTTGAGGGAGGCTAGTGTGGGACGCTCGAACTGAGACTTGCTAAGCTTGCGATTCACATAGTACACGCGTCCCGTTGAGCGAGACACCTTGGCCTCCCATCCGACAGGCAGAGATACTTCCGGTAACGCATCCAGGTTGAACGACTCGCGCACAGGGCGATCCGCTGGCTTCGGTGACGGCTTGACCACCGTCGTTGACACCTGGTTGTCGGACGGGTTTGCAGCCTCATCAGGCTTGCTGTTCGTGCGTTTGCTTCGAGAATCATACATGCCTTTCACGACCGACATTCGGCCCTTCAAACTTGACATGGCTCCCGTCACTCCAACCTCCATGCTCTTCACGATCGTGTTGCGCGTGGTGCTGTTCGTAGGACTATCCTCACCTTCAACCTCCGAGACGTCGAAGCCATCGCCGTTATCGCCCTTCTTGTTAGAGTTCCAGAAGCGGGAGCCCACGCTCATGCTCGGCATACGCGGAAACTGACGCTCCGACCCACGAGTCTCCGACGGACGATGGTTAAGATCCTCCGAGCCAGTAAGCGAGTCCATCAGCACGGTCTCACGCGGTTGCTTCTCCTTCTTGGACCCTAGCGTGCGGAAGATTGACTTCTTCGGCGTGGCCTTCTTCTCGGGTACACCGTCCACTTGAAGCTTTGCAAGCTGCTCCGTCAGCTTCTTATTGTCGATCTCGAGCAGCTTAATCTTCTTCTCCTTGTCGCGCACAGTGTCCTGCAGCTGACGAACCTTGACGTGGTTGCCAGCCGATGAGAATTCCTTGTCACTTTTAAACTTCTCGATCTCCGCCTTCAACTCCTTCATCGCGACCTTTATTCCCTCGTTCTTCTCGCGCAGCTTCTTGTTCTCATCTTGGAGAGTTTCGATCATGCCACCAGCATCAGCCATCACCACGCTCGAGGCAGCAGACGAATCTGCCGTCGTCAAGCTACTCCGACGTTGCAGCTGGGCATTCCTGTCCTGCTCTTCCTGAAGAGCGGCCTTCAACTTGTTGAGCTGGTAAGCCATGTCAGCCTCGTAACGTTTTTCTTCGAGAGCAGCCAAGTACTTTGGGCGCTGGATCGTCATACGAACGATGGCTTGTACACGGACAACCGCCGCCCGCATTTTGCCGTAAGAGTGACGCTTGACATAGCCGCGCACATACCGCTGGATGATGACAGCATAGTGGTTGCTCTTGACAACCACTGCAATCTTCCGGCCCTGAATGCCTCGCCAGCGAGCTTGCGCCAAAACGAGGCCATTCATGAACGTGTTGTATCTCCGCATAGCAATCACACACCTGATAACTGACTGCAACTTGATGATAGCTTCCAGTTGTCGAAGGTACTTGATACGCTGTGTGAAACCAACCATGACATTTTGCAGGTATGTGGCCTTGGCATCCAGAAATTTCTTACGGCGATCTTCAAGCTCTTCGAGCACGCCCAATTGAAAGTATACACGAGTCTTACCCATCTGGTACTGCGCTGGGGACTCTAGTTTCAGTTTGTCCATGAGTAGTTGACACTTTTCTACCGCAGTGTTACCACCGCTCGGTACAAACAGCCAGAACTTATCCAAAATCTCGATGTGCTGCAACCTATTCGGGTACGCAGCACGTGAGATACGAATGGCTTCAATCACACCAGCACACCGTAATTGAGACACCACCATGGCCTGATCCATAACCGTTGAGCTCTTAATCGGATTAGGCTTGATGCACCGCACGTAGTGGACTCGAGTTGAGTTAATGGTCGCCATCAGCTCTGTCAAGCTCTCCTTAAATTGAGTACCGACAGTCGTGATAGACAAAGCACCACCACGCTTTCGACGGCTGCCCGGCGCTTCCGAAGCAGCTGTCTTAGGTTCCGGCTTTGGTTCAAAGAGCTTTGCGATGAAAGGCTTGGACGAACCGCGCATGAGCTCGGACAGGTCAGGCAACAGCGAATCCTTGTGCTTCTCCAAGAATCCCACCGAATCATACATGACAGGTGCAGCATAGTGCTTGATCAGGAACTCGGTACGTGATGTGCGAGGGAACTCAATAACGTGTGACATGTCGTCCTTGTGCAGGGACGTCAACTTGGACATGAAAGACTCCTCGCAACCCTTGGGTCGCATCACCTCTTCGTTCAACAGTGAAATGATGCCCATGCGGGACTCCACAACACTCAGCACATCTTGGTTATCCGCATACTCAATGTGATCCCAGACGATACCTTCTTCCTCGTACTCAATCTGGACAGTCTTAAACACATCCTGAGTGAACTTCTGCTGAAGCTTCTCGTTGGCATAGTTAATACAGAACTGCTCGAACGAGTTGTGCTTGAAATGCTCAAAACCGAAGATATCGAGTACACCCACGTGGTTCCCCATATTGGAATCATCAGCGAGAGATTGGTTAATCGTGGCCACAAGCCAATCAAACACGTTGGAGTAGACCGCCTTCGCAAGTGCGTCACGGCAGTCCATAGCCAGCTCCTTCTTCAGTGGCACGCTGTACACATCGTTCACGGCACGCATGGTACGCGAACACAATGCAGTTTCAAGCGCTTCCCATGTGACGCCAAACATCTCAGTAGCAGCACTCGCACCACGGTCACCCACCGTTATGAGAGATTTCTCATCGTCTGATGCGTCTGATTGCAGCTGCACTTCACCAAGATGAAGCACACCCGCTAGCACTTCAAACAGCGGCTGCTGGTCACCACGCGACAGCCCCACAAGCTCAAGAGCCTCCCGTGTCTTGTTAAAGTGATTCCCATCAGAAAGTCCCTCGATCTTTTGTGCCGTATTGTCACCCGTGTACACGTAATGTTTTTTCGAGTCGAGCTGTAGCTCCGATGCAATGTCGGGAGAATCCAGCAGCTGGTAGAAGATGTGGTAGTTGCGTTCCGGCTCTTCGTGTTGGATGACACGTGTCTTCTCTAGCAGGTACGTGCGGCATTTAGCACCCACAAGTGTACCCTTTCTATCGAACTGCAGCTGTGTAAACTTTCCAAATCGACTCGAGTTGTCGTTTCGTACGGTCTTGGCATTACCAAAGGATTCAAGAAGTGGATTCACTTCAATAATCCTCTTAATAGTCGAATTGTTCATACCACCAGCAATAGTAGCCAAATGATTCATAAGGATCTTAGTGGTCTCTGTCTTACCAGCACCAGACTCACCACTGACTAGAATAGACTGGTTGAGTTTCGACCGTCGCATATGGTCATAAGCAGAAACTGATGTGGCGTACACGTGTGGAGGGAGTTCCTCCTTCGGCTGGTTAAGATACCGTAGATGTTGCTCCTCTGCGTAGAGATCAGGTAGCCATTTGTAAGGGTTAATGGCAATACAAATGTCCCCTGTATACGTATACGGTAGTTCACAGAGAAATCTCTTCTTAATGTTGAAGAGAATAGCAGCTTCATGCAAGTAGTTGAGTGTAATCATGTCTTCAATCCCTTCGGACCCCACGTTCTCGTTCTGATACGGCAGCGTCTCCAGTTGATGCACAGCCATGAGTGCCTTGGTCTTCTTACACAACATGTCGACACAGCGCTCCTCACTCTCACCATCAGGCAGCTCAACCTTGCAGTAAATCTTGCGTGTCTTGCCATCGCCCGTGTTCTCGTCACGTAAGACTTCAGCTGCGAGCCACACGTGTGTCTCGTCTGGCACAAAGCACTTGGCACCTACGACCATCTGCAAGTCGCTCATATTTTCGATTAAATCTCTCCTACCGACGTCTTTGGATCCTCTTAAACTCAGGAGTGACGTGCGTCCGACGAGAGCGGAATGCAAAATGCGCCAAAGGGAGGATTCGATACCGGTAACTGAAGCGATCCTGCAAACTAGCAACAAGGACACTTGTACTTTGTATACCCATTCTGATTTGACAACTGTTGACTTTGACATAGCCCGGCCAGTGCAGCTGGAGGAGCAATAGCGGCTGGGATTGAGGGAACAGCACGTCAAAGGATTTGAGCTTGTTGTTCATGCACTAATTCATTGCAACATGACCTCCTTTGTATCATACAATGTCTACTTGTCTTGTCTCCCTGTGGTCACTGTAGATGCATTGCATGCCTGCAAAGTACAAGTATTAATCATCTAGAGCTTACTTGTTAACCTACATGGGTACGAAATCCGCATTCGTGACGGTTCGTTTTTTGTAACGAACATGATTTATACCGCGAACTGCTTCAACTTGCTGAATTGCATACTACTGTAATAACCGGTAACATCAATATTTCAGAGTGATGGTCAAATAGTGCAATCAATAACAAACATCAATGTTAAGCATGCTGCTACGGCGGTCGGTCCTCTCTGTGCGTTCTCCACACGTCCTTGCACGGCACTTGAGTGCTTCCACCTCCTTCGATTCCCCTCTACGTCGTGTATGCGTTGTTGGCTCTGGTCCTGCAGGTTTCTATGCCACTAAATATCTGCTAAAGGAGTATGCCGGTGCACAGGTCGACATGCTCGAGGCTTTACCTACGCCGTTCGGCCTCGTCCGCTCTGGCGTTGCACCCGATCACCCGGAGGTAAAGAGCGTTATAAACGATTTTCACAAGGTTGCGGCCGATACGCGCTTTCGATTCCTAGGAAACGTGCGTGTGGGTGAGGACGTGACTCTCGCCGAGGTACAACAGCATTATCACGCCGTCGTATTGGCTTACGGCGCAGCGGGAGATCATAAACTGGGTGTTCCAGGTGAAAGTTTGAAGGGTGTCATGTCGGCTCGTACGTTAGTGAACTGGTACAATGGTCATCCGGACTTTTGTGACCTGGAGCTGGACTTGAAGCAGATTGAGACGGCGGTTATTATCGGGCAAGGGAATGTGGCTGTGGATTGCGCTCGGATTCTTACCAAGAACGTGGATCAACTGGCTATGACCGACATTGCTGCTCATGCGATGGATGTGCTGCGAAACAGTAGTATCAAGAAGGTATTTCTTGTGGGACGACGAGGGAGTGCACAAGCGGCGTTCACGATGAAGGAGATTCGAGAGTTGACCAAGCTGGATGACGTGGCATGCATTATTGACCCTGTTGATCTAAAATGCAGTATGACGTCTGCTTCCAAGCAGGAAATCAAGGAGCAACGCGCTCGTAAACGTATGAACGATTTGCTAAGTAAAGCTGCCGATCAGTTTGAACAAGCTGGAGATGCCAAGCGCGTTGTGCAAATCAAGTTTTTGAGATTGCCGACGAAGATCGTTGCCGATAAGAATGACCCAGCGCGTGTGGGGTCAATTTGTCTGGAAAAGATGAAGCTGGAAGGGGAGCCAAACCGGCAGCGTGCTGTGGGAACTGGAGAGTTTGAAGACATTCCATGTAACCTTGTGCTGCGTAGTATTGGCTACAAAGCACAGCCCCTCGAGGCGGATATGCCATTTGACAAGTGTCGCCACGTAGTTTCCAACGAGCAAGGTCGTGTTGTCACTACTTTGGGCGGTGGTGAGAAAAAGACTGCAGTAGGCTTGTACTGCACCGGGTGGGTAAAGCGTGGTCCATCTGGCATTATAGGCACCAATATTATTGACGCACGAGAGACGGTAGGGTGCATTCTGGAGGATTTTGCAACGGGAAGTTTTCTTCATAGCGAAGATAGCGCCGATGGCAAGTTGGGTGGATTGGAAGCCGTGGAAAAGCTGATCAAAAAACGTAACCCTGACAAGCAGCTCGTCAGATGGGCTGACTACGAGCGTCTCGATGCCGAGGAGAAATACCGCGGTGAAATGGTCGGGAAATCACGTGAGAAGGTGACATCCGTGACAGAGATGCTCAAAATCGCGAAAAGTATCTAGCAGGAACAAGGCATCTTCATTTACATGCTTGACTTGGGGTGAATCCTTGTCTGCCGCTAAAACAACGTACTTTTTGCGAGGCTGCCCACATCAAATAGAACTATACGCAAGGTCAACAATGCGTAACCAACCTTCCTGATTCAACAGCAAACCAATTTTGGTTCGAGTATGTGAAGAATTTAGGCGATGTAGCCCGCCGTCAAGTATCGAGACACAACGTGTAGTCCGTTAGTGTTGACACAACAAAAAGCTGCAGGTTGCTATAAAACTTGAGATGTAGTTCCCAAGATTTACATTTGATCCGTGTCCTGGCCTTTTCATTTGCATTGGAAGCTGAAGCCAACAACAACGATGGAAAAAGCCGAGCAGCTCCTGGAATCGCGATCTCAGTGTTCCGGGAGTTGCTCGGCTTTTTCCATTAAAGTAGGAGACACTGACCATTACTAGCAGATCTGAGCCACACGATGTGTGTGCAAGCTTCACAGGTAGCCCAATCGAATCAATGTGGCCAAATTGTGTTCTGAGGTATACCATTGCGTTGCTCCAAATGTTTCTGGAAGGCGTACGTATACCGGAGTGCTCGTGATAATGCTGTCGATACCTTTTGCACTTCTTTTATCACGTTGCTGAAATGCTCACGATGATGTCAGCGTAAGGCCTGCCAGGTGAAGCCAACTGTAAGCTGCGTTGTCTTCCGTGGATAATATCTCGCTACTGTGAGTTTGTTATGCTACGTTGCATGATCAACAAAAGCAGGGAGGCAGCTAGCGAAGCGTCGACAGCAAAGACCCGCATTCACCCCACAAGACATTCTCTAGCAGCATCAACTCATACGACATCCCCAGGATGTAGCCACAGATATAGAGACATAAGAGGAAGAAGATCAGTGAGAATGGCTGACATCTCGACAAAATGCGCCAGCAGCCCCAGTTTTTCAAGACGGAAAACATGAAGACGCTAGAAAAGTGCGTTCTTTTGCAGCTTTACACCCCTATTTGATATGTCATTTTGCTGTACATTCTGCGCTTACTCAGGCATTGCGTGCACTCATAGCAGCGTACACGGAAGATGTGAATGAGGTCACATGAAGGAGCGGAACATCGGAATTGTGCACCTCGTCGAACGACGCCTTTTACTCGGATAAGTATTCATTGCTAGAATATTTAGTAAATATTTTTTCTGATCCCATTTTGCAATAACAGACATCATTCATGTCGTCCAAGACTCTTCAGGGAGATCCGCGTCGTCCCGGGAACTTGTACCCGTTTGTACGAGAGCCGGTGAATTCTGACGATGCTCCGGGAGACTGGTATGCTTTCTTCTCGCTCGCACTGGGCTTCCTCGCTTTTATCATGAAGGTCCGATATTTACTATTATTTGTCAATTTCTTCGAGTCCAAGTGACAATAACAATTGAATATATGTATATGTATATGTACACTTAGTGGAAGGAAATGGCATGGGGCTCGCTACTGTTGTGCATGGGTTCGTTCATCAATATGAAGTCGCAGGACATGAACACAACACAGATTGCCATGTCTTTCTTTTTCTCCACAAGTGCTCTCGTGTCCGCCTACGTGGGTGCCATGCGTCCTGGAATGCCCATGCCGCCATCGGCTCAGACAGCCGAAGCCCCTGCTTTGTAGACAAAAGCTACATACATATAGGCAGCAAAGTAGGCTTGGGCGATACGTGAGTGAGGCATTTGCTGCATGAATGGAAGACCACCAATCTGTTTTGGTGTAGTAAGACGTTCTTGTGGCAGCCCTTGTTACAGTCGCTCTAAGAGAATCAGTGAAGCAGTTTTCCGCAAGAATCTCTGTGCAATCGTGGCCACATGCTTCTAGCGAAGATGCGATACGACCTTTTGTGAACATCAGTTCCAAGTTATACAAAATTCGGCGACCACGAATTGCATCGTGCATACCGAGGGCATCATCGGCGAGCTGTAACATACAGCACGAGCGCTAGGTTCTTTTACCAAGCATTCTTGCATCGGGTCTATCGCGCAAAGCAGTAGTGTTGCATTACTTGCACACAGTGTCATCACGATGCAAAAAGTTTTGCACAGTCACCAAAGCGGCGGCATGTCGATATTTGCGCACAGAGGCACACCCCAACACTAGTGGAGAGGTATTTGCGACATTGTGTCGATTGGGTCTGCACTATAAGTCATCAGCATTGGCGATAGTAGTACAGGATAGAGGTAACGTCACTACAACCTGGTATCGGGAAAAGCACGGCACGAGACAGCACGTATACACAGCTCCCATGTTGTAGTAAACATAAAGCGCATCTCAGGAACTATAACATTTTTTTGTTGTACAATTAGTTGGTGAATTGGACTTATAGCTCCAGCCCACCCAAACAGACCATCTTCGTTTCTTGGTATTCCTCCAGGCCCATGAACGAACCTTCACGTCCCAGTCCGGACTGCTTGACACCACCGAACGGAGATTGCGCGTTTGAAATCATGCCTGTATTTACACCAATCATGCCGCATTCCAACGCAGCGGCAACACGCCATGTACGAGACTGATTCTGCGAGAAAAAGTATCCGGCAAGACCAGCGTCTGTTCCGTTAGCCATTTCGATCACCTCTTCTTCAGTCGAGAACTTGAACAACGGCACAACAGGTCCAAAGACCTCCTCGCTCCAGACGCGCATCGTATTGTTCACGTCAGCCAGTACAGTGGCCTCGTAAAAGTTGCGCCCGATGTCACTGCTCTTGCCACCAACGAGAGCCGTCGCACCTTTCGTGATAGCATCCTCCACTAGCTCCGACGTCTTAAGAAAGGCGTTATGTCCAATCAGTGGACCAAGCTTCACGCCTTCCTCGCGAGGCGGACCCATCTTGAGCTTCTTTATACGCTCCACCAGCTTGGCTGCGAACTCGTCGTAGATACTCGCGTGAATAAAGATGCGGTTGCTGCACACGCATGTCTGGCCCGTGTTGCGGAACTTGGAGGCAATCAAGCCATCCATGGCATTGTCAAGGTTAGCATCTTCAAACACAATAAACGGAGCGTTACCACCGAGTTCCAAGGACAGACGCTTCACTGTGTCCGCTGACTGCTCCATCAGCAGCTTGCCAATGCGGGTAGAGCCCGTAAATGAAATCTTGCGAACGTCATGGCTACTCGTCAGAGCTTCACCAACCTCTGCTGCCTTGTCCTTATGGGACGGTACTATATTGATAACACCCGGTGGGATTCCGACGTCCGCCGCTAGTTTGGCCAAAGCCAAGGCCGACAGCGGCGTCTCAGCAGCAGGTTTTACCACTGCAGTACATCCAGCAGCCAGACACGGACCGAGTTTCCGGGTGATCATTGCAAGGGGAAAGTTCCACGGCGTTACAATCCCACAGACACCCACAGGTTCTTTTATGGCAAAGATCTTGTGGTCGGGCGATGATGGGGACGACACAAAGCCGTTTGAGTGCATGATCTCGTGTGCATAAAAGTCAATAAAGCTAGCGGCGTAGGCCACTTCACCCTTGGCTTCAAGCAATGGCTTCCCACTCTCTACAGAGGCGATGATGGCCAGATCGTCCGTATTGTTTACGATGGCCGCATGCCATTTCTTGAGCAATACCGAGCGAGCTGCAGGTGTCATCTTGCGCCACTTTTTCTGTGCCTTTAATGCCGCTGCAATGGCGTCGTTGGTCTCGACGCGTCCCATGTTGGCAACGTGTGCGATCTCCTTGTCAGTAGATGGGTCGATCACAGCAAAATGATTGTTTGAATGCGCTTCGATCCACTTGCCGTTAATAAAGCCAGCAGACTGGATCAACTCCTTGTTGTAAAGAGTTTCGTTGTGGAACAAGCGGTGTGAGATTGACGGCAGCAGCGAGCGGCGAATCTTTGTCGATATCATGACGGGTGTGGTAAAAGATCCTCTTCTTTCCCAATGACTTGAGCTTGACAAGGCAAATTTAGAAATGAATAGATATGGGGACTTTTAACTCAAAGTTTGTATTGAAGTACGCTCGCAGAAGCATTAGAAATGGTACTCAAACTTCAACATATATTTTTTGTGCAGAACACATTATCATGTCCTCCACACCAAAATTGTAAAATGGCATCTCCATTAACGCCGCGGCTCCTGGTGCTCTATGGTAGCGAGACTGGCACTGCTCAAGATGTGGCTGAGTTTGTCCAGCAACTTGCATTCAATCGACATCTACTGGATACTCAGATCTTCTCCATGGACGCGTTTCCAGTGTCGCAGTTGCTGCCTCAGTGCTCCACTGTCATCTTTATCGTCTCAACGACTGGCGATGGCGAGGCACCTGAGAATATGCGCAACAGCTGGCGCTGTCTATTGCAAAAGAAATTAGGGACTCAGTGGCTGGTTGGTGTCCGGTTTGCAGTCTTTGGATTGGGCGATTCCAGCTACGCCAAGTATAACGCAGTGGCCAGACGTCTTCAGGGTCGACTGCTGCAGTTAGGAGCCTCGGAGCTCATTGAACGTGGACTAGGAGATGATCAACATGCTTATGGATACTTTGGAGCCCTGAACCCATGGCTGGAAAAGCTTTGGGCGGCTGTTTTACAGCTGTATCCACTACCGGAAGGACAGATAGTCGATGATTCCCCAAAACCAATCGAGCCTCGTTACTCTGTCACGATACATGGCACTAGAGAGACGGAGGTGGACGTTGCAAAAGGTTTGACGCCAAGAACAGATGAGTCGAGCTTTTATGCACCACCACGTACGTCGGTCGGACGTGAGAAGGGCATTTACTGGGCTCGTGTCGTTGAAAACAAACGCATTACAGCAGAGGACTGGGAGCAGGATGTGAGGCACTTGGAGTTTGATATTGACAGCAGCTCCTGTGTAGGCGACCCTGCTGAAGTTCCATTTAGAGCTGGAGACATTGCTGTAGTGTATCCTGAAAATGTGACGGGTGTGGACGACATGCTCAAGTATGTAAAGTTAGATGGAGACACTGTCATTTCAATCAGCGCAGGCGATGGCTCGAAGCAGCTCGATCTGCCTTCCCCAATTACTCTTTATGATTTGTTTACAAAGTTTTTGGCAATCCTGGAAACGCCGCGGCGAAGCTTTTTCGAGAAATTGTCATTATTTGCAACGAAGGAAGAGGAGGTGAGGTTCGATAATTGTTGCAGACCTCTCAGTGTGCTTCAAACCCTGACTTCTTGCTCGTGTTTATCTTCGTTACAAAGAAAGAGAAGCTCGAGGAGTTGGCGTCCGCTGAAGGTGTAGATCTTCTCTACGACTACTGCATCCGCGAAAAGAAGACGTACGTAGAGGTGCTGACGGACTTCCCCAGCGTGAAAGTGCCGTTGACAATCCTGCTGCAACTGGTTCCTCGTCAACAGCCTCGATCGTACTCTATCTCATCGTCTGCTTTACTCCATCCGGGACGTGTAAGTTACCTTCCTGCTTGTTTGTGAGCATTTTGTCATTCATCACGGTATGCTTATTCAAAACCAACCTTCTTGTTTCACAATTGGATAGGTGCATTTGACCGTAGCCATTGTCAACTTCTTGACTCCGTACAAGCGCCGTCGAAACGGTATTTGTTCGGCATTCTTTCAGTCGTTGGACCCTTCGAAAGAGCAAAAGCGCGTACCAATGTGGATTAAGCATGGCCTCTTTGAGCCGCCTGGACTAGAGCGAGACATGTTGCTCATCGGCCCGGGAACTGGACTAGCCAGCATGCGGGCAATGGTGCAGGAGCGACAATTTCTTCGCAAGCAAGGAGGTGACAACAGCTCTGGGGCCATCTACCTCTACTTCGGATGTCGCCACAAAAACAAGGTATGAAAGTCGTTAATTTCTGCCCAAAAATCTCCTGTTTTCACTAACATTTTTCCATCTTTTTGTCCAGGACTTCCTGTATGGAGACGAGCTGCGTGGCCTCATGACGTCGGGCGACATCACCGAGTTACATACTGCGTTCTCACGTGACCAGGTACATTTTGTAGAATCTTTTGCTGCCACGTTTTGCTTTATCTGACGGTGGTATACCATTTGTGCAGGACCATAAAATTTATGTGCAGACGCTTCTGGCAGAGAACAAGGAGAGTGTCTTCAACTTTATCGTGAACGGTGAGGGATGCATCTACATCGCCGGCTCGGCCAAACGAATGCCGAACGATGTCTACGAGGTGCTCCGAGACATTTTACGCTCGGTCGGAAAAATGCCACTACCAACTGCGGAGAAGATAATGAAGACATTGGCTCGAAAAAAACGATACGTGGTAGAATCGTGGTCGTAGTGAGGATGTTTATCCACCCACTACTTTGGTACAAGTAGAACAAACTGCCGGTAGGATGTAGAATGCTGGACAATAGAAGACGATTTGATTTGCTACAAAGGTTTACAATTGCCATGGAGGACGTAGAGCAGGCAGAGCATGTGCGCTCCTTCGTGAAGCTCGCAAACCTCACACAGACGTCCCAGTTGCACGAATGGAACCTCGAGTCCCTTCATAGAGCACTGCAATGGGCATATGCAGCTGAAGATGCAGTGAGTGGTAGTGACTACTCGCAGCAGGACGTTGAGATGCGCATCCGTCAGTGGTTCCCAGTCGCCACTTTGCCTACACTATCGGTAGGCGAAGCATTGACGGCAAACGCACTTCGCCACGCACGAATCCATTTGTTGCGATCAACTCTACAGAGTCCGTTCCTACCTTCACATCCAACACCGTCGGAATTGCTAATTGCAGTACTCGAAGAGCTGCGAAGAACACGTGAGGAGGACTCGTTTTCCAATGCTTTCATTGAAGACCATTCGCTTACTAGGTAAAAAAGAAGGTGGTCCGACTGATGATGGAAGCTTTAGGAGATTTGATTAATGTTCTCTGCTAGTGCATTGCTGATTGAAAAAGTAGTTGGCGCTCCTCGTACGGAACCCATGTTGGCGATAGCTCATCGAATGAGCGACAATTGCAAGCGCGTTTGAGTACAAGGTATTGATGGTGTATATGAACCACAAGGACACAATGGAATTTATGATGCGAGAAGGAATCTAACGTCTTGAATGGGTGATCCTCGTATTGCTGTATTTAGTACTCTCCGGATGGGTCGACGTGCTTCCACTGAAAAGTTATGCACTCTCGCCTCGAACGCTTCAATTGAGGGCCATGGCGAAAGTCTTGCAGCGAAATGTAGTGGATGCCCGTGCTGCAGTAAAGCCTGAAACGTACCAGGTCTTTCTAAATGATCTGCGAGGTTGTTTTGAAGCACCTGAAAGTAAAGATGTACGGGTAAGAGGTTGTTGTGTATGTTGCTTCACACTTATGATGGAGTGAATATGACAAATACTGTCAATTGCAGGAAGTCGTATTGTTGATGCTTGTCATGTGCGAATGGCCTCAAGAGGAGCCTCCACAGCTTCGAGGAATGAACGATGATCTCATGAAAATTGTGCGTGAGTGGGTATCGTGCAACCCCATTCGATTCTGGACATTCCAGCCATGGCTAGCGGCTCTCTTAGTCAGTCAATCGGAAAGTCTCGCAAGCACGTACATATCCCATCTTTTCGAGATAGGACTTTTACGACCATGTACGATTGCAATCTCCGGAAGGTCTGGGATGTATTTGTAAATCATGGATTCTAGCTGACGTGACGTTCTGTATCAGGGGAACGCGAGTTTGCAGAGCGTGTCGCGACGATAGTTTTACATGCTGGAAACGTCGAACACGTACTGAAAGCAGCCCTATCGAAACTAGATCCACATATGCAGCATGTTTACTTTAACGTAAACGTTGGACTCACGGGTTCGCTGCACTAGCAATGCGTATTGCGTGCACCGCGACGCAGCACATCCACGACTTCATGATGGCTACTACGCAGTGATAGATTGCTGCAGCAAGGTAAAACGCTTTGGAAGACCCAGAGTGAAGCTTTCGCAGATGTACAATATCGCTCGACAGCGTACAGATGCAGAAATCGCTTGCTCTTGGTTGAAGTACAAAAAGTCCCACGCAGAGTCGACTAGCATCTTGTTGAGCATCACAAACCAGTCGCGATGCAGACCACACCATTTCGTCCATATAGTTAATGCTTAGCACAGAATAGAGGTTTGTTGGAAGGATATGGCGAGAGACTCCATCGAGTTTTTTTAGAATATGTTGTGCATGAAGCCATCGCATTCCAGAGACATTCCCGTCAGTGTAATTGGCATAAGCGGTCGTCGTTGCTGGTCAACGCACTAAAGCACTCAAAGGTACACATGACGATCCAATTGAGAATGGAGCAAGCGATGACGGTATTCATTTGATATCTCCCATACACGCTTTGGTGCAGTGTCCCAAAATGCTTGGTGTTGCGCCCCCACGATCTCTTCAAAGCCACGAAGCAAGAGCATACATTCCAGCAGTAGAAGAAAACAATTGCAGGGAAGACGCATTACCACATAGTAAGCTCGCTCATTATAGATTCGAGATCCCCTTCATGAATTTGTAAATAGACGACCACATTTTATTCAAACGAAAAACGCTCAATGACGCCGATCGGAGGTTATGCCGTTGTGAAACCCGTAAGATCGTTGTCCAGAGTGGCATACAACATGCTCTTCAACTCCTTCTTCTTATGATACAGCGGCAAATCCAAACGGTTAAAACACGCGTGGCTTGAAATGTACTGCGTCATTCGGTACGATACACCCTTTAAGCTAAACGGGCATAGACGACCATCGTAGCTAGTGAGGCCACCGAAACCAGCCAACGGAACGCATGCTGATCCTGTTGCAAATAGCAAAAGGCGCCGACGGTACTCGTTCGGCATCTGACTAACGATCTCCCAAAACCAGCGGGTCACGTTAGCATCCTGGAGATTAGGAGTGAGAACAGTGTGAGCCTCCCAATCAGTAACATCAACTTCTGGGGACCCACAAAGAAGATAGTCAAACTCTTCTGGGTCGAAGATAAGTAACAACTCGCGGGGAATGACTTCATAGAGACCTGTCAAGAAAGCGTACATTTGATCTGCCACACTCTCAAAGAGTACGTAGCGGAAACGACGGTCCAAATATGTGCGTTTGTTCGCATCTGTGACAGCCACATTTCGTCCATTCGGAATCAAGTCCACCACCACTTTAGACTCATTTACCTGCTCGGTAAGACTAAAATCGAGCCCAAGATCATCCACGCCATCGTTGTCCATCAACCATCGCAGACTGCGATACGTTTCTGGATCTAGGAACTCCATGTCAGCAAAAGTTACTGGCACGCCCAAGATCACTTTTAGTAACGGAAGTGCAAGATGAAATCCCCAAATTCCACCTTCCAACAGTGCCCGACCAATTAATCGTCCAGTGGCAAAGTAATAAGCAAGGTGGTCTTCCCCCACCTCGGCGTGGGACTGCGAATTGATAAAGAAGCTCTGGTCGGCCTTGTTCTGGCAGGTAAAGAGTCGCAGCGTCGGCGAAGCCAGCAGTTCATTCACCAGCATAAACCATTCGCGATGCACACCACCAGCATCCACGCCACTTTCATCCAAAAAGTTAATGCGCATAAAAGAACGCAAATTCTTTGGCTGAATGCAGTACATGTGGTCCAGGGACTCTTCCAGCATGTAGTCACGGTGCACTGACAACTTGAGAAACTCAACTTCTGCAGGCACAATGAGCGAAGCAGTATTGACTACAAAGTGTGCATACTTGGAAGGAAAGTCACTAGCCGCCATGGCCACCATTTCCTTTCGTCGCTCAGGACCAGCATCGACAAGCGACGACTTTCCCGTCGAGAATTCCGCCGGATCCGATGCTAAAGCCTCAGTCAGTTCTATTTTCACGTCCGTAGGCAGCACGGGTTTTTCAAGGGCATTGTCTTTCACATACTGCGAGAGTACAGCAGCCACTGTCGGCTCAATTTCCGTCATCAATCTCTCCTGCTCCTGGTCCTTCACCTCCTCCTGCACTTCCTTCTCCTCCGGAAACTTAAAACGCACTGTATACCCAGGCATAAGTACATTCATTTCAGTACTAACTGGCAAATTGCCACCTCCACTGCGGTACCAGAAAAAGTTTCCTTCCACGTCAAGCTTTCTACTCCACTCTCGACGGTTTCTAGCGCGACGTTGTTGTCGACTCAAAGACGACAATTTCCTCGGTCGAGGTGATAGTAAATGCGCCATTTTAGCTCCTCCATTCACCACGAGATAAGCCGCCCCTCCTCTGTCCGAGTCATCCATGGGATGATATTGTTGTTGTTCCTCTTCATCACTCACGTCCTCAGCCGTTGTCATAGACAATGACGGGAGTTTGTCACCACACAAGACGCAATACTCAAAGCGTTTAAAGTTTTCAAACTCACAACTAGAGCAGATGCTGTACCCAGCTGCTGCTTCTCGAGTTGCTGCGTCTATTCGATGATCAACGGATTCACCCGAGAGCAACGGGACTTCCATATCAATTAAATGTCGGTTTCGACGACATGCGATGAACCACACCACGAGGAAGACGATGAAAAGCAGAAGCATTCCAACGCATTGGTAAAGCACCGACATCTTCGTGGTGCGATTATTATCCATGATTGTCGCGCGTGGGCAAGCTCAGCTGATCAAATTGTGTCGCCCAGACAGTTATGCGGGACACGGTTTGTAGCGTCTTTGTACTAATTGCGTCTTTTACGAGAATGCCTCTTAGCAAGCGAGAATCCAAGTGAGACGTTTCTTCACTTGATATTAGTAAGGAAGAAGATTTGAAAGCGACAAATTTAGTTGACACACTGGTTTCTATACTTACTTGACAAGACGTAATTAATGGCCACATTTTAGAAACATGGATAGCGTAGCATCTGTGCTGCATGGAGAAAATCGTCTATGTTTGACTATGGAACGCTAAAAAGGTACTCAACAGCTGTACTACCATATGGTGTTCACAGTACATCTGTGGACGGTATCTAAGGCCGCGCTTTCTTCATGCACGTGAGTTTACGATGTGTCATGAAAGGAACTTCTTGCAGCTTCAATATGATTGTATGAAGTCGCTAGACTGGAGCTCAACGTCCTTGTTTGTTACCGATCAGAACACATAACACACCTTGGAGTGCAATCGATTCCACGAGACTTCCAGATCTGACGTCTTTCTAGGCACTGGTGAACCTGCGTCTCAATGTTGGAGCTCAAGGATGTGGCATGCTGCACATCTTAAAACCCTGCTCGAGACGAAAGGACGGGAGGTCCTAGTGGCTTGTAAAGTGCCGGAACCCACTGATCGGGAACGGCTAATCGATGACGGCTTCCAAAGAGCTGGCATACCGATTTTCTTACCTTAGGCAACATGTGCCCCATCAAGGGGTCAAGGCCGAAGGGGGGCCTTCTCTCCGCTACGTGCGCCACGGGAGGCAGCGCAGCGTGCGAACCTGACGCATCAGGGATAAATAAGTCAGGCTGGCCTGTCTAAGAAGGACGGTTTGATACCCTGCCTTACTTTCAAAGAGCCACCTGCCCCCTGTATGTGCTCGCGTTTGGTCAAACGGTCCTAGATGTGCCCCGCGGAAGCCCGTCGGGTTAAGCCAGCAGAATGAGCTAGCGCATAGAAGAACGTCGTAGTCATGGCAAAAGATATGGGGGTTTCCTCACGGACATATCATCTCACAATCATAAGTATCTAATCGACAGTCTGATTGATCATCACTCATCAGAGAAGTGATGACGCCAACGCTATGTAGAAACGCTGATACCAAATTGGAAATAGGACGTTTCCACTGCTTGGTATCATCACCATGACTACAATCCCGAATCCATCTATCTTTATCATCAAAAAGTCCAACTCAAGCACCTTGCACCGTCGTTCTTCAACGTCCACTTTAAACTCTTGAACATCACCGGTCCAAAAAGATTTTTAATTGTAAATTTAGGATACCTCCGACAACCATAATTATCCTTGTCCTCAGTATGTGATGGTAGACCAATAGAAAATTGTTATATAGTTATAGCCAATGTCTAATCTCTATTTTTGCAGTTTCAGCCAATTAGTTTACGGCTATTGTATACTTTGTCAAAACCAAATTGAATATACAGGATGTGTAGGAAGCATACAAATACCAAGTCTGAGGTTATAACCGTCGAGTGAGCACGAATCCACGCGGTCAACTGGCTTTGTTGGTCTGTGGTCGGGGCGAGCCGATCGCCCAGCTCTTGCTCTTGCTCTTGCTCCTGGCCTGACTAGCGTGTCCGGCAAGGCGGTACCCGTAGTTGAGCCTGAGATGGAGTCACTATTGTTTCATCCGGGAAATTAGTGAACAAGAACTGGGGCTTAGCGAATTGTTGTTGCGTGCGCCCACAGAAATTGCTTGTATAGATTATGCAGATCCTAATCCACCCAACTAACGTGGTGAATAATGATGAGGAAAGCACGATGTAGTTGAGTAGTAACACGTAAATTTCCACGCTCGTTGCGACTCGTGTCGCTGTTAGGAGTCGCCTTTGGATATTTTGGACGGAAAGCAATTGCCACAAGATTAACCCTGGGTTGCTTGTCACACTAAAATATGCGGGAGGCAACCGGGAGAGTTAATGATGATAGTGGCTGTCGTGCCGGTGTGAATACGTCGGATTTGGTCGATGAAGCGGACATTAAAGTCAAACTGGAGTAATGTCCTGAACAAAAATTTCCGGTCCACGGTGTCGTAAGCTTCTCTTAAATTCAGCAGTAGAATACTGAAACGGTGTGCTGTTAGCACCTCCTCTTGCTCCTTTGCAGTCGACTGAAGAGCCATCATCATCATAACTGTTTTGGTAATTTTGCGCTGATAAACAAAGCCTTGTTGGGAGTGGCTGATAGCCAGAATACTGTGCCGCGTTACCCGTAGCTGGTTTGTAGTGAAGAGATCGATCGATAATTCATCGCGTCGTCCCAGTCACCTTTTTTCCGCAGCGGGGGAGATTATAAGCGCAGCTAGAAACGAGGGAGGCAGATCCACTCCATTGAGGATTTGATTGCTGGTATACCCAGTGCTGGCACCAGCACCACTAATGTGACTTTGTAAAAATCGTTGTTGAAGCCATCCTGGCCGGCCGCTTTGTGCCGACTCAGCACGTGAACGGCTGAAAGCACCTCAGCTTCTGTAATCGGACGTAACGGTCGAACATTTTCGATAGCAGTTAAGTGCTGTTCCCTTAAAATCGTCACAAAAGTCAAAGCTGCAGGTAAATCGTTCAGAGCTGTAGCACAATGGGTGGAGCTTAGCACTGGTGCCCATTTAGGTGCAATCTTATCCGCAATGGACATTTGTCGCCCAAAGACCGCCTCATGTCGCGCTTACAAAGATGTTACTAGCTGATCGCTTTCCCAATTTCCTCACGCTTGTAAGACCATCTCAAACGCTCCGCCGAACGCTCTAAACGTTCGCCCATCTGCAGTAGGTTTTCCTCACGCATCTCTTACATACTAGCAGAAATCCACTGACGACGCAAAAGAAATTGCCGTCTATTGAGTTGCCGAATTTTGCTAATGACCGTTTACGCCTCCTTTTTTCTCGTCTAGCTACAGCTCGAAAGCAGTTGATGCACTCAATAATATCAGTATCCCATGTCTGCTCTGTCAGAATAGGTCCAATCCCCATGGTATCCATAACGCGCAACCAATTCTCCCGGACGCAGTCTGGCTGGTGAGTACTAATGGGATACATTGGATGAAGCCGCTTATATAATTTTAGATCGGACAGCGCGACGCGCAGATGTAGCTCAATCTGTTGACGGTCAGAGTGGCGTCAAGGACACCCAGATGACCTGCGGCGCCCAGTCCTGGAGGTCGATCCTGCTGATCCTCTTGCTGTTTTAATAAAGATAATGACCCGTCGTGTCCGCAGCCGCGTCGTCCTCTACATGATCCTTTGTGTAGACGGGCACTTCTACGAAGTTGCCTCGTACTACGAGCACACACCTTATGCACAAGCGAGGAAGCGGTTATACCGTCTTACCTTCGCGTGCGAGGGTGGTTGGGAGGTTGGTCGACTGCTTAAGCAGTCGTACCACCAGTTGCCTCTCGCTTAAGCGAGAGTGCAACGAACTTCTTAACAAGAAGGCACCGACGTCACGCAGAAGCTTTTCAGCTTCTCGTGCGTGGTGCGTATGTTTAAGTAAATTCAAGACTGAGCTATATTTAATGAATTATAATTAAATATAAACTTAACTACTGATTGGCTATATATATATAGATCGGATACGCGACTCTTTAGAAGCGTATCCTGTCGCATGAACTTAAATCTAGATTTAAGATCGCAACTGACGTCCTTCTGAGACGTCGCGATGCCTAGCTTCAACTAGCGTCATCCCTTCTCATGTGAATCCATCAATGGATATCACATTCACGAGGGTGGATCACATTTGTGTATCGCACCCAAGTGACAGGTCAAAAGTAATCATGGATACTTTTAGACCAAACATTAAGTATATTACTTAATGTTTACGTGTAACTAGATGCCCTGTTACACCATCCCCCGTTTTAGAACGATTTTTACATTTTGTAAAACATCGCCTAGGAGACAGAGAGACTTGCGAGCCGTTATAAACGCGCCGCTTTAGTCTACTCAATTCTCATGCCACCGAAACGTGGTAAGGCTGATGGGTCGCCTGCAAAGGCACCCATGCAGTCCAGCACTAAGCGCACGCGCCGCGATTTATCGCAGCCGTCGCAAAGTGCTTCAGGCACTGAGGTGAATCTTCCATCTCACTATAATGTGGATGAAGATCCATCTCTCATTGTAGACTACAATGAGACTACACCACTGCCATCACCCCAAAGTGGCGATGAGCATAGTGCATTGATGGGACATATGTCCCCATCATTTGAGGCACCCGTCCTTGAGGAAGCATCTATGCTTCCTACAAGCGAAGGTAAAACCTCGTCGTCTGCGCCTACGAGCGCAGCGACTAAGACTGAGCGCGCTACTTCGAAAGGAGTAGTCGCGACTCAGTCAGATGTAACTTCTCAAGCTGATGTCTTGACAATCCATAATGGAGAGTCAGACTCAGGTGAGTGTGAGCTTAAAGCTCCACCAAGTACACCTTCGGCCTCACTAGCCCGCCGTCGCGAGGGCGGCTACGTGAGTGGTGGCTTGCCACCAATGCCACCTCCATCTGAGTGGATGAACTCGGATGGGTCTAGCGCAGCGCTTTTGCAGCGTGCCACTATAGACGCTCATAGATTCTATAGCGTCTTTCCTTTGTGGAAAAAGCAGGGCAAAGCACTTGGTCGTGCTTTCCCAATTCCAGTCGTGCTGCGTTCTAACGAAACAGCCGACGACTATGAAGCTGAACTTCGGCGCCGTGTTACCTTGCATGAAGATGCAACGAAACAGCGGTCGCAGCGAATCAGCTTCGCCATGAAGCGTGCGCATGAAATTATGGGTGGTAAGCGACCCCCAATTAATTCTCGCCACGCTTCTTCTGCTAGTCCTTCCGGACCTAGCAGAAAGAAGACAGCTGGTGCTGCTTCACATAAGCAGCCACCAGCCCAGGCACGTCAACGCGCAAAGCGTCCACAGGCTCCCACGAGTCAAAGCTCGTTGGGTAACCCTTCCACT